TCCGCCACTCCCGAAATCATCCGCGACGTCGTCTTGTGTGTTCGCTGTGTGTTGTGTGTATGTTTGTCAAAACGACACCGTAACATGCATCTCGTCACTGCGCACGCGTTCCTCGCAACGCATTTGAGTCTCTAAGTGACACTCGTCCGTTGCAAATCTTCACGCTAGTGCACCACATCTTCTCCTTCACTTCCTTGATTTTTTCATAGTTCAAGTTCTCTTTCAGTTTTCTGCACAACATCATTGGCTTGCCTTCATTTTGAGATTTTCTGGAATACAAATTACAGCAAAACATTATCTCAGCAAATACACCTGACGAATATCTCTATGCATCGCAAAGTTGTGTCACCTTCACCAGTTCACCTGATTACACTGTAAGAGTAAGTCTCTTGGTAAAGAATTCGATAGTGATTCCACTTTCTTTCAAAACTCAATGCTGTCACTACTCTTTTAGAACGTGATATCTGGCGGTATCTGGTGATCTAGTTTTTAACAGCAACGTTTTTAAAGGGCCCTTTCTAAGTGTGTAAAAACCTCGAATACGTTTCCACTTGGAATTCTTCGAGTGGACTGCGTCCTTCGGTTACTCTTCTTAAGGGGAATACCTTGTTCTGCATTCATATCGAGGATCCACACAGGCCTGTCCGAAAAAGATTTGCACACTTTTTGATCTTCAGTAACTCGCTTGCTTCGATGTCTTTTGGTGACATTTAAGTACCATTTTGTAGCGATGCCCTCAAATGAGATGAACAGTATAGAGCAGATCTCCGATCTTCATGCGTTACTGTAGAATTACGGTAGGAACTTTCAACATATTGCGCCATGGTAAATTGAACCGTTTAATGAAAAAATGTCAAAAAAATGTGGAAAATTGTGTACGGGGTTTTCGAGCATGCTGATTTCATTACGCAAATATTTACAAGATTTATGAGCTTTTTAGAGGTGTGTAATCACATTTTTGAAAAACAGTGGAAAAGCTATTACTGTTTCCTTTATATAACTTGTGAAGGAAACATGAACCTGGTGCAAATTTCATATCTGAGATCAGCGACTCTAGTTAGCTAGTATGAAAGCCATCGACTTGTTTGTTTTGAGGCAAGATGTGGCTCCCAACGCAAAAAAACCCTCTGCATTCCTACGGCAATCCTACAGCAACAAAGAAAGATTGGGATTTCGCTCCATATTATAGATCTAAGTTGAGCCAGCTCTGCAGAATGATACCTAAAAGCCGACAAAAAACATTGGAGCAGAAGGATAACAAAGATCAAACTATTTGCACATTTTTTCTAGAACACCGTGTAATTCTTGATAGCACGGAGTGCTCAAAACATTAACACACTTCCTTTCACTATAATTGAGAGAAGTAAAAACCCGATACAGTTATCATTAAAAACATTGTATCCAGTCTCTGCTTGACGATCTCTTTGCGAAAGTATTGAGAACATTACCAGCTAAGCTTGAAGTCAGCGACGGCCATCAATATGGAATGCTAGTTCCGACCACTCAAAGCGAAACGTTTGTTCCTATCGTATTATTGTACGGTAGCGTTGAATGAGAACATCACATGACCGCTTTACCAGCCATTCACGTCGTTTTCGAAATCCATTGGTCATCTACACTTATATACTAAAGCTGACTGTTGGTAAATTATTAGTGTGTGTTTTATGTAGATACTTTTGTGTGCAGACCAATTGGCGCGAAACTTCGCGCACACATATTTTCGACGCCCGTCCAACCCGTAGGCTACTTTTAGCGGAGAAATTCCCGCTCCTTGAATTAATTCATCGATTTTGAAGAAAAATACCAACTGATATCAAACCACAGTTCTACCGCTATTGTTTACACTTCGTGTAAAAAAAGCGGTAGAACTCATATCTAGTCCACGATGTGTGACATGCGCTAATTCAAGGCGATGCGATTAGGAAGTCTACAATGTGTTGCACGAGAAGTATAAGAAAGCCAAAACGCAGTGAATTGAGCTTTGATTGTCAAGCCAGTAATCCTCTATGTAAATGGAGTCGGGCATGCCAGCAAGTACATATATAAAACTCAAAGCTTGTAAGTAAATATATTTCCGCGAAGTTTGTGTTGAATAGAAATCTTTGTGAGTAAACCAAGAAGGGCCAAACTGCACACATACAGTCAGTGTCAGTTATGTGCTCCCTCTTCTGTAAGCGCAGTGAGCTTCGCGTCACGTTTGCGCGCGTGTGGCTCAGCATTCAAATTGGCCTCATCGATTGGGGGTCCGCACGCAGGGCCCTTGCGTTGCGCATGCGCAGTTCCCATGATGCGAAAGGGAGTACATAATTGACAAACTGTATGCTTCCAACCCCTGCGCAAACGATAGGCTACTCTTTGCGACAATTCGCTCAGCGCTCTATCGATTTGATTTCTTCAATTATATCAAGGAAAATGAATGCTTATCAGTCATTGTTGGGTTAATTCCAAATACCATGTAAAGTGGGCGGTTGATCTCATTTACATTTCGTGGTGGGAGGATGCGATGTTTCAAAGCGCGGTTGAAGAAGACAAGTTTTCCACAGAAGCGCTGCGCCCGGGGAACAGTAGCAGGATTGCGAGAAGGGTAGGAAGAAGAAAAAAGGAAATAAAGGTAGGGTGATCTTTACCTCGCTTTGGTTCAAATAGTCGTTGACCTTCGGACCCACTGTCAAGCGGACCGGGAAAGCCAGCTAGTACCCTATAATGACTTTCCATCATGAGTTCCAAGGGGGAGAGCTCCTGTAGCTTAGCGAGAAACTGCTTTGAAGTGTAGAAGTGTTTCTACAGTTTAACAACTATTATTCGTTAACTGCATCTGATCAGGGAGTACCCTAAAAGAGATTTTTTTTCTTCGCCTTTTCATTCCAAGTTTCAGTATGTATGAATCGCCTCCACTTGATTGTTTATTTACCTTCCTTTCAACTCTGTGAAGCAAAACGCCAGTTTGATTTCTCAATTTACTAGACGTTTTCTTTGTGGGAACGTGGCCCACTCATCCATACATGGTGTCATCACCGGCTCACGAAAACTATTTCAAGCTTCTGTGCAAACAGAGGTTCTATGAAATTCTTTGTAAAAAAAAGTCGCGATCGAATAAATAATAGCAATAGAGTGCTTTTGAGCAATCGACAGTCCGCAAAAGTACACATTCTATCTTACCCTCGATAGCTTTCTTCTGGTCATCAAAAATATGGGGAAAGGTATACAAGGTATACACGAGGTCATATAGAAGATTGATTCTTGCCAATAATAGCTTCTGATTTGAACTTTGAAACGTGAAAATTTTTGTTCGAATGGGAGTTTGGAGGAAAAGCAATAATTTCTTCGAAAGAATCTGAAATAGAAATTTAAATTCGTATTTTCTATACCTATAATTCCAATGTCGCTTGTAGAAAGTTCCTGGGGACGGGCGACAAATTTTGAAAGGGTCTCTTTTCCAGCACTCGAAAGAAAATTTAGGATGTTTCAAGAAAGAGAATATCGAAAAGTCCAAAAAAGATGGCCCGAAAGCAATCTTGTTTTCAGATATAACAGAGTATAGGAGACTGTAATTCGTAGTCGATTTGCTTCTGCTGGCCCCTCAACCAAATTTCATCGTTTACAGTCAAAAATCGCCTTTTCTGCTTGAGTTTTGGAAAACGTTTTCAGCAGCGAGATGAGGCACACGTTATTTATTGCCTAAGCAGGGAACGATACTTGGTTACCCCGGCCATTCATGATGATTTGTATATCAAAAAATGCGCCTTATAATGCTGGTTCGAATACTGTTTTTCATATCTGCGAAACGAGAATCTGGATGGAGTCATGATTATTTTCTCAAAAATGAATTGCGCTACTTCGGAGGGTGAAAAATCATCAATAAAAAATTTTCTTTCTTCTTAAAAAGCTGCATATGATTTAGTTAGGTATAAATAAAGCGTTACACCTTTCAAGATTCTCCTCAGCTTTAAACGGTAAAATAGGTCAAATTGGGTGATTTTAACTACCTAAAAGTACGCAGATTTTCTATGAAAAAAAGTTCATAACTGCCTTCAAAAATCGTTTCGCAGATTTCGAGCACAGATTCAAAATCAGCGTTTCGAGATGCACCTTATGGTCTACATCGCATTCCACATGGCCGGGGTCACCAAGTATCGTTCCTTTAAGATGACTATTTCTTCAAAAATTAGAGCAGCAATCTTTCTTGTCAAAGTTGGAAATAATGTAACAAAAACTTGTAGTATCACGGTAAAAATGAAGACTCAAGGCACATAACTGCATATATGGAAAAATTCCAACATAACTGCATATATGGGAAAGTCCCAAGACGCTGGTGGCAAAATTTGACATTTTCCGTATTTCTTTGCTTGCTTTTTGGATGCGAGGAAGATACAGCATATGTACACATGGGATTGCTATGTCTAATAAATGCAAAAGAAAATGACAGGTTGGAGGATTTGAGAAAAAAATTCGTTTCTTGGCGTTATGATGTGCTCATGGATCACTTCATCAAAACTTTACGCAAACTTGAGGCGGATTTTTTCTTGACATTCTTGTAGCTTCCCCCGCATACTTTCCTAGGGGTTCAAATTTTTGCTATAACCTTAAACGATAGAAGATATTGCCATATTACAGCTGCGGACGCCAAGGCATGAGCATATTCCATGCAGCTCTCTGATCGCTGATTCGGTTACGGAGCCGTTGTTTGAGGTTGCACTTGAGTTGACCGTCGCGAACGATAATCTTCGCTTAGTCCCTGTCCACCACTACGCTTTGCACACATCGCATTGTTGAGCAGGCCTTTTTTGACACCTTTACGTTGTTGTCGCTGGTTCGATCGGATCAGTGTTGCTCATCGTTTCGATACATCTATTAACTGAATCGACTTCTCGTTCTTTGTCATCTTTGAGGTATTTTTTGTGTAATCCTTCTGTTCCCTAATTCTCAATTTTCGCGAGTAATTACCGTATCTTTGTTTTTAGCTGCGTGTGCTACTACAAATATTGAGCATAATTTCAGCAATGCTACTACGGTGGCTGCTTTTACCACTTGTGGTGACGTTAGCAGCAGTTGATGATAATGCATTTATATCCGCAATGAAAAACTTATTTTTCGGATCGGAGCAGGTAAGAACAGCACTTTTCAGAAAAAAATTGCTGAAATCAATATCGTCTAGCAAATTACTTTTCAAGAAGGCCAAAGCGTCAAGAAAATCTTTAGTTTTTTATCGCGCGATAACTAAAAAAAGCAGCAAATTGTTTTATTGTGACAAAGCAGAGCAAATTATCTGAATTAACTTTTAGCACTTTTTGTAAATATTTTTTCTTCGACATTTTGATTTCCTGCGATTGAGACGTTATCCCGTTTCTAAACCCATTTTATCATAATTTTACTGTCACATTAAAAAGTCGTATATAGCCTATTTAAAAATTACCTCTATATTTTTATTGCAAAATCTCTTTCTGTGGTTAATTATCTTCCCAAGAAGTTCCTGTTTCGTCAAAGTTTCAAAAACTGTGATAGGTATCCTGAGCTGTTGTTATTGTTGATTTTGAAGTGTAAACTTTTCGTAATTAGGTTGTGTGTGTGTGGCAAAAGGTATGGAGGGGGGAAGGGGGGATGTAAATTTACTTAAATCCTCTTCGTATCTCATTTTCAGTTTTTACCAACATTATCATCTATTTGCAGTTCAATGCTACAGCACAAGCAGAACTACAAATGCACCCGTCACCGACAGCAACCAGTTATCCGACTTATCGACAACTCTCAGGTGAGTGTGGTATTTGGCCTCTTCAGATTCCGCAGTGCTTGAGAATTTGACGCAACAAAAATGCAATGTAATGTACCAGTCTGGTTTGCAATCTGTTTGAAAAACACGTTGGTATTCGGTGGGTGGAGCTGGTTCGGTGCTTTTCATTCCAGACCTGTTTCATGCTACGGATAAAATAGGGGGCTATGGAATGATAAGGGAGCTAAGGATCACGCTGCAAGCTTTAACAACTCATTGCAAGAGATTTTTTTTGCTAAAACACCTAGCAATTCTTTATTTCCAGATTTCTGCGATCGAAATCAAAAACTAAACGAAATTTCAGAATCGATAATTGGGGGCTCATCCCACTTTCATTAAACTTTACTAATAATAACTTACAAAGAGAGTCCATAAAACCGAGATCAAAACAAAAATCAGATTTCAGAATGTTTGTGTTCACAAGCCAGCTTTTACCTCTGCGCAAAACAATTGAGTCAAGATCTCAAATATGCATAATCAGACGACTTCGTTCAAAGCTGGGAGTGGCGAATTTTGAAGTTTTGGTGCAAAATTTATGTTGAGACTGATGATTTGACTAAGCCCTCAAAATGTATGGGAATCCTGAATATCTCATTTTCTTGCAGAATCGTTATCAAAAAATTTTCTCAGGGTACTTCAACTAATTTTTGACTTTTTCTCTGTTAAGTTTTTATGAGATAATCTGCTCGCGAACCTTCTAGAGACTACTGGAAATTATTGGCATAATGTCTGGCCAGCTCATCAAAAAGCTCTGTGGAATGGCTTTTTCTTCGTTCTCTTTTTTTCTGGAATTTCCACCAGCTGCTGTCGATATTGACGCCGGTCGCTGGTGACAAACTCAAGCTAGCCAGGCGTTTAGAAAATCCTGTTGAAGAGCTTTTGGTCAAGTGCGCTTGACCACAGCAGCTCCGAGGGTACGTCGCACACAGAATGTGGATGTTGGTAGTATTAAATTGTTGTCACATGTATTTATAGACAAGCATATACGGTGGCAAAAAATTCAAAAAAATGCTAAGGACAGTTAAGTCGAGAGCAGGGAAAAAGTCAGCAGTAGTGTGGATATCAGAGCGCAGCAATCCTCCAATATAAGGAAGAAGAAAGTAAAAATTACTTTTGAATTACACGCTTGTAGGGTTACCAGTCCTAAAAAACCCGTGTATACCTATTTTTATGAAGTTAAAACACTTTAAAAAAATTATATTTTTGCACGGCAGACACTTTTCACATCTTCTACCACTATCAGCACTTTGTGAACACGTTGTTTTTTGGTCCTACAGAGTGCACAAAAGCTGTTCATCTATTATATTTTTCTCGTGCTTGTTTTAAAGTACAACGGGTTATATAAAGTAGCGATTTAACTGTCTAACTCTTTCTAATCCTTCTGTGCTTCGTTTGATCTTAACGGAGTGATGGCGCAACCAAGACGCACGAATCGTGAGATATATCTGGAAAACGGATTCCTGTGTAATTTGTGAGTGTAAGAGAGCAAGTAGTTCACAGTTTCCAAACATAGTATTGCTCCATTTTCGGCTTCAAGAGCACGCTCCAAAAGATTCTCAGGCCGACACTTACATTCCGCTAGAATACTCGATAGAAGAACATTTGCTGCTTATCTCAAGAGCAATGCTCTCATCAACAATCGCAAAGTCCCACATTTGTCCTCTTTCGGTTGCCTTTCGAAAAACACCTTCAAATTCTCAAGGTGCTTTCGTCTGAGGTGATAAAAAGCTACGATAAGCGGTCGGTGAGCACGCTCAAAGCGGCACGATCCACTTGAGGTCCGGCACTTTTGCTTCTTCCGCCTTTGGAAAACTCAAAAGCGCTTTTCAGTTGCTGACAGGAAAAGCTTGGGTATGGTGTGGAACAAGAGCTGTGAGCTAGGCACGATAAAGGTCAAAGATTTTTGAAATCTTGGTGTAAAGTGCAGACGAAGTTATGAAGTCCAATCGAGAACGGTGAATGATCATAAATGATGGTGAAGGTCACAAATTATCCATATTTAGATCCAAGGGAAGTAAAGCAGCGGGAAAAATCTGTCTACGGTCTCTAAAGACCTCTTGTAATTATTTTGATCTGTTTTCCAACCAAATTTTTTTACAGCCGGCAACTCTCAAACGTCCGGTTCTGCTTGCATGATGCCGCAACAAATCGGTACAGGACCTTATAGAATACCAAGATGGTCAGTCTTATTAGGCTATATGGGATGTAGAAGTCTTGCAATCTGAAACCTTGTTTAGGTACTTCAACCCAGCTCGAGGCCGATGTGAATTGTTTTACTGGTCCGGATGCTGTGGAAACGGCAACAATTTCCAAACTTTCCAAAGTTGTCAGTCTACTTGCGAAGGTATACACAATTTGCTGTTTTCATTGCCCATTATGATTTTTATCCATTTCGACGTTGTAGGGAATTTTGTCTCTTCAGAGGTGAGCAATATTCAAGTGGATGTAGAGTACAGTTTCACTTGAATTAGTACGTACAATCTTTTTTGGAAAGAAAAGAACTCAGTGAATTTAGTATTGAAGTACTGAGTATATCAATAAGGTAAATCTTACGGAATACCGTAAGACTGCGGCATACGGTAGGTGATTAATCGCCGAGTGTAAGGATACGGTATTTTATAGTTGTTCACTGGAGTTGGGAAAAATCATGAACAGAATTTTTTTAAATTCAGATAACGACGTTTACTGTGTGAATTAAATCTCAGTGAAAATCTATTTACGCAACAGATAAGCATCATAGCAAGGAGTTTTGCGCTCCGGTGGGATTATCTTTTTTTGAAAGAAAAAATCATAAAAATTGGAACGTGCTGACTTTGGTATCATTCGATATCAATCACAGATTCCACCTTCAAATTTCCACATAGAATTGCAGATGCATCCATATCGAAAGAAATAAGATGTAAATTGAGCATCAAAAGTTTGTTTGTGATTTATTGCACGAAGGAGAAAGTCAGCCATTTGAAAAAAAGAAGAATTTTTGTCCTGAAATGTGACTTCCCAAAAAGTTTTCAAAGCTATCTTTTCCAAACAACGTATTTTCGTAAAACAGCAAATGAAATGTCCTTGTTTCCTTTTTGATTTATCTGTCCACTATGCCATTGCTCATCCCTGAAGAGTCCTCTAGGAGATGTTCTTCAAATTGATTTGCACACAAAGTGGCGAGCGAAAAGCTAGGCATGATGTCCCAGGCGAACAAATGCTTTTTGAAAATTTTCACGGTTGCTGTGCTCTAAAGTGGCTTTGAGAGCAAACACAAGATATTTCCTTCAGAAGTAACAGTTTTTTCGCTCTGTTCTTCATTCTCCTCGCTTCCTGCCACTATCGGAATATCTTTCTTTAGAGACTGCGTAAGAGGTATAGTAATTTTGAGCTTTTCCCCTAATGTTCCGCACTCTTTAGCCTGCTTTAACTAGCTCAACAATCTCCTTCTTGACAATTTCCTCGTAGCTTACTTTAGCTCAGTTAGCCATGACAATGTAGCGATATTAGCTTACTTCAGTTCTCGACTCAAAGCCTCTCCCAACCTCTCAGTTCTTCTTCTGCTGTTCTTGCGATTTCAAGCCGTGTACGGATGATTACAGTCAGGCGCTCACGCAAAATTACGGTATCGCGACGCGCCCTTGTCGCAAGAAGTGTCGAGAGTCAGGTGTAGCAAAAACTCGTCCAATAAAATTTGGCAGTGCACCAGCCAAGGCTTGCGATAGCTTTGAGCACCTTCAAAAATTGAAGTTATGTTAGAGCTTGAATAGGAGATGCTGTAATATGAGGCGAGACTGACTCGCGATGAGTGGATTTTAAACATATTTTTTGTCATTATTCTTTTACTTTTTAGCGTATTTTTGGGTACGTGATATTATCTCTTAACAAAAACTAGATCACTTGTTATGTTTCGAGCACTCAGAACATGTTATACGATTTTCATGCTTCATAGACATTCTTCGAAATTGGCAGCCACAAGATAAGATTGTTGCTGATATTAGGTGCACGGAAATCGCCTACTTTTTGAAATTTCATCTCTAATTTCCAAAGATATACGGAAAGGAAGCAATAGCTACCGCAAAATCAGAAGTTTTGGTTTTTCTTCTTGACCTTTTCAGTTCAAAAAACACGTGCTAGTCAAAACCGTATGCCTAAATCATCCTAAATCAATCCTAACCCTAAATCATGTAAAGTCATGGGTACTTTTCCGTTATCCGGACCCATTTTTTCAAAAGGCTCTCATATTATATGTTCTTTAGTCAAAGAATAATTTTTCATAGATGCTATGAGGACTGCCTCCTTGCCACGTGTCACGAAAAAATTGACACGTTTTAGTCGATTTTGACAGGTTTCTTTCGAAATCATTTCCGGTGAGGTAAAAGAGATTTTGTGATTATTCTAAAGCTGCTCAACTGTTTTACATAAGCACAAAACAATCATAAACTTATTCTAAAACATCTTGCTTGCTTTTAACACTGATTCAAAAAGCGTATTTCTCTTCAATTCCTTTTCTCCATGCGAATTTAGCTGAAAAAAACTATAAATGATAGCCTGAAGTGCCTGGCTGCTGCTTATTTCGCTTCTTAAGTAAGGGAATCCTTGAGCACTTCTCTATCCTGAGCAAGTCCAAATCTGTTCATCGATGATGGTATGTTGTTATTATTATAACAATGTTCGCTTCAAAACTGTTTTATCGAAATGAGGTCAAAATTTACTAAAAAACAGAATGAACTTACATCGCTAGCTAGGGTAACACAAACTCTTGGTAAAACCTGTTAAACATGTAGATGACATGTCAAATTTTTTTGACACGCGGCAGAAAGTTGACACTCCTTTCTATAAAGCTGGGACAAAATATGGTACAAGGATAGAAGCAATATCCTTCTTTGAAAAAATGGGTCCGGATAACGGAAAAGTACCAAGTCATGATTTTCAAGCTTCTCTCAATGTCCTGAGTCGACTTGTTGAATTTGAAGTATTCGACAATTTATGAACAATCATAAGAATAAATAATTTTAACACGTCTTTAAAGGAAGTGGCTCGGCAAATCGCAACCTAGTCAAATTTTTGCTTACCTGGGGTTATTCAATACGCTGATCCCGAAAATCCACTTTAGAGAGCTTGAAAACGGCGAAAACATGCGTTTTTGAATGCCCTTCCCTTTGAAGTTGGACGAGTGGAGCAAGGCTGATGACGCTGAATTGTTGCAGGACCCAATGGTTATAACATTGCGGCGGGCAGCCTCCAATGGTGGGATGGAAATTGCCAGCTCGTCCGGGCGCGTGTAAGATTGGCTTGCGCGTGTAAATTTGAGAGCAGTTTTCTCGGCAGGGAAGGCATGCTGTGCAACCAGGATTGCACTGTTTTCACACTTGGGCGATAAGGAACCTACTACGTTAAAATCATGCGTTGTTAAGTTTTGCCGATCTATTGCCTTTAAACGATCAGAATGATATTAGGTTGGCACATAAGTTTTGCAACTTTTCCCGTAGCCTTTCTCTTATTTTATGTAGCAGTCCCATTTTGTGGCATCGTGTAGATCGTGATTTAAGCTGCAAGTCTGCGTAAACCGTTTGATTTTTGATAACGTGGTACAAAAAATCTAAGCATTTTTTGAAAACTGCTGAAAATCGAGGTTTCACGGTTTTTTGGCAAACATGAAGCCCTACGAAACCTGAAATAAACATATCAAAAAAGCAATTATAGGCAGCATGTAGCTAGAAGTGGACACATTGGAATCAGTAAAAAAGAAATGAAATCTAGACACAAATCAAAGTGGGGCGCCTTTGAGAAGTTGAACAAGTCAAATGCGTCAAGTTTTGAAGGCAATTTGTCAATAACTAAGCTGTGAAAAGTCAGAATTCGCTAAAACTTTGCACTGTGGGGTAATCCTATACGGTGAACACGAATATCATATTCATTCGTCGCTAAAATGTAATTCATTTTTTGATCTTACGAACGAGGCCTTTTCATGCGAAACGGATCTCATTTTTGCGATCAGCTTGTGGAATAAGCCCTACAAGTCAAGTTTCAGCAAAATCTGATGCATTCTAAAATTTTCCCTATAGTACCGTAAACCTACCGTAATCCTTACATAAGATAAAATTCGGCAAAAATGTGTGCATTAGAAGCTTACATCATAATCCTTATACTGCCAAAAACTGAATGCGCTACGTTCAGAGAGACAAAAGTTATATAAAAAGTTGCATTATTTATGTGCCAACCTAATATATTCAAACAATTTGAGCATTTTAAAAATATCATAGCTTATGGTCATAGCATATGCTCTCCACGACATTAATTTTTACACTTATGGTGCAAATGCACAAAGGAATTAACTTGACGGCAGGCGTTCATTTTTCTCCAAGGGTAGTGTGGCTCAAAGTAGCTTCACTTTTTTCCATAAGCACTGAAAAGAAAGCACTTCATATGCCATTATTTGGCAGTATGTCCTCATATCTGCATCTCCTTTAGCATAAGCATTCACTTCCTGCTTAAGAAGCTCCATAAGCTCCTGAAGAATAGCGTATGCATAAGTTGAAATTAGCTAGAACTGCGGTTGACGCTTAAGATTTTGCACATCAAAGCAATAGGTGTGCTACGCCTGAAGCTTAGAGACAAACCTCTTAGGCACACCTTAGTTAAAAACGCCGGAGTGCTCTGCAAACAAGCCAGAAACCGGAACAGTCAGCTTAATTCACGTATGAGTTCGGCTTCTTCGAGCTATAGTGTGTGTTTGCGAATGGCAGCACTAATCCGCAGCTTGAATTTTTTTCCGATTCGAGAGTTTTCAGTCGATCCATGTACACAAGAGCAAGCGGCCGGAGTAGGCTCAGCTCAACTAACTCGTTTTTACTTCGACAAAAAGACGAAACTCTGCGAGGAATTCATGTATTTCGGAGCCGGAGGCAATCGAAATAACTTCCTCACATTGGAGGAGTGTCAGGCGCAGTGTCCAGGTTGTGTAATTCACAGAGCCATGAGGCTTATGCACTTAATGGTCCCGTCGGATGGTGCTGGTACTACTGGACAATGCGGGGACATCGGCTATGGAGATATGTGCACACACTTCTGAATAATACTTCAACAGGGACAGTTCTTATTTGATAGCCGGTCCAGGTTGAAAAATAGCTGCTATTTAATAGGAAATCCTCAATCCTCATTTCCCTTTAGTTGATCGAAGTTTGCGTTGATTGCCATATCTTGAAGAGTAGACGAATTCTGAAACTAAGGGCGCTATTCAGCCTCACATTCAAGCGCGCATCTTCTCCAGTGCAAAAGCGGCTGCCTGACTACGGTAAGTATATGGTGGTAGACAGTTAGGCAGCAATTCGTGTATAGGTGTTGTAATCAGCACAATGAGTGACCTATAGTGCCCTATATGGGCAGAATTCGGAGAAACTTCTTGGATTGGCAGAAGCCTGGCTATCTACCATACACCTACCATGCCCAGGCAGAAACTTCCATAAACCATGTAACTCACCGAGCTAAGCAGGAAATGGTCAGAACTTGACTCAGCCATTCCAAACAGCTTTATATCATTAGACTCGTCTTAAAACGCTGATTTCAAATCTATATTTTTAATTGCCAAGCGACTATGTGGATTTATGAGAGTTTAAATACGAAATTTCCGCGTTTCGATGAATATACTTCCTTGAAAGGCGGCATGATGGCGCGGAATTACAGTGGCTAGGATTATCTTGACTACAAGGAAGAAACATCCACTAAAAACCTAAACAAGTGTTTTTCAAACCTATTTCGTGAGACATGCGCGATAGAACACTTGACAAATCGAAGGCTCCGTCCGCCCAAAATGGGGTCGATGAGATTTTGATGCCTAACAGTAGTGAGGCCCCCAACTGTATACTTATCCAGCTCGCGCTGGCAAAAGTTGCTTCCGTAGCGAGAAAATTGCTTTAGAAATCCCTCGGATGACAGGATCGCCACGTTGGCTCTTCCCCTTTGAGTGGGCGTGACGTTCGTCACGCCCCATCCGTGCGCGCCCAATCAATCACCGTTCCGAAGGAATCGCTCTAAGGGTTTTGAAAAAGGGGGTTTTTCGTGATTTTCGAGGATTTCCGATTTAAGATTTGGAATTAGGGGTATGAGAAGGCCCTGGAATGGCAAAAACATAGAGGTCGAAATTTTGGGTGGACGGTCCCTTTAAAAGCTCATAACTCCTCTTACAGGGGAAGGATACTTGGATGCCGTAGCCATTCATAATGATTTGTATACCAGAAAATGCGCTTTTGAATGCTGGTTCGTAGACTGTCTTTCATATCTGCGAAACGATAATCTGAATGGAGTTATGATTTTTTTTCATTGAAAAAATTGCGTTCCTGCGGAGGGTCAAAATCATCAATAAAAAAATTTTCTCTCCTTTCCAAATGCTGAATATGATCCAGATAGTCTAATTAAATATTACTACGTCTAAAATTTTCTTCAGTAGCATCAAACGGTAGGCTAGATCAAATCTGGCGATTTTTACTATCCAAAAGTAGGCTAAATTTTCAAGGAAAAAAGTTCATAACTTTCTTCAAAAGATCGTTTCGCAGATTTCGAGCACAGATTCAGAATCTGCATTCGAAGGCGCATTTTTTGGTATACAAATCATTAGGAATGGCCGTGGCATCCAACTATCCTTCCCTTGTTAGATAGCCGCTTGGCAGATAATAAACATATATTTCTGATCAGCGTTTCTAGGCGAGTCCGATGATTTACGGTATATTCGGTAGGCTGGGTTAATTCTGACCATTCCTTGCTGAGCTGAGTGGTGGCACTGAATATAAAATTTTCTCGTTATGAATTTGCCGAATAGTTTACCCCCAAAACTAGGAGCATAGCGTATGTTACATACGTAAGTAATGTGTATTGTTGGCTTTTAAAGCACTCCCCGAATTATTAACAACATGTGTGGCTAACGCTGTCTCGCAATTTACTTTTGCATCTTTCCTTTTTCATGTGTTTTTAGCAACTCAAAAAATGGCCAAAGCCTTATCGCATAAGCAATTCCATGCTGTTTTCCAGCTATACTCCGGCAATCAGAAAAGAACTGTTCTGTTTCCAATCTCTAAACAACTCTACATAGTTTCTCGTTTCTCTCACATATTGCATGTTACTACTTATTGCTTTCGCTTAGATTAGTTCTTTTCACGGTGGAGGGTAAACGGCACATTCACACAATCGTCCTTACTTTTTGAAAATGAATGCTATTTCAGAGTCACCAAATCCTTGCGCAGTCTCCAGCGGAAATTCTGTTCTGATCCCTTGTACCCCGGGGGTGAACACATGTGGACAAGGAAACTTTTGCCATGTTGGCGCCACGCCTCAAACGACAACTTGCTGTCCCAAACCAGGTGGGAGGCCTGTGAATGGTAAATTTGAGGAAATCAAGGAAGTAAAATGTTCTCTGCGTTTGATTCCAGCTCCAATTGATCGATGCCAGCAACCGTTGAACCTTGGAGTTGGTAATGCAAATCTTCAGCGGTAGGTATTCTTTGAATTGTTGCCAGACTCTGCTCAATGACTTCTCATGAAGTATAGATATTTCTGTAGAAGTGCGGTTTTGAGACAAACACAAAAACTGAAAGTGCAGCTAAATTTCTTAAAGTGTAAAAGCATGAATACGGTAATGCTTATGATTAGTGTCTATATAAACTACTACAAATGCTTCACCTTTTTCTAACAAAAAAAGTAGTTTACAATTCCTTTGCATAAAAAAAGAACAACTGAAATGTAGAAAATCATACATCCATGGCATGGAAGTGGTTCTAGAACATTTGAAGTGTAGAATCGCTCGCTAATAATTTTTCATACCAAAAAATTCTCAGCTATAAAGTAGACCCGGATCTGAAGATTAAAGAATGCTCTGAAACGTTTTGTTTTTTTTTTTTTTGGAGGAGTATGCGTTGAGTTTGACTTACTTTGATAATCATATGAAAGATTAAAATTAAGAAAATTTTAGATAAGCGTGAGATTGGAATTTGATTAGGATGCATTGAAATGCACCCGCTCGAGAATCTCACAATCAGCAAACCTTCGACATCTCACACTAAAAGGATAATAGGATTTGTTTTTGAAAATTAAATCAAATTTTACAGATGGTACTTCAATCCGCTAACGCAACAATGCCAACAATGCATCTACCGTGGTCTGCAAGGCAACGAAAATAATTTCCTCTCAAGACAAGAATGCGAAAACTCCTGCATTGGTGAGTTTACTGATTTTAACCCTCCCAAGTCAATATTGTTGTAAGTATACTTGTTGCATTTTCGCAGAATTTTACGTTTTTTTTAATTCTATTTTTATGATGATCTGTGAATTGGGCTCCCCGAAGCTTTCGACTATCATCCTAGATCGCATTTCAGTTAACCCATGCAAAATCGGAGCCCCGTACCGTACCCAAGGTGTTATTGTACAATGCTCTGCAGCTAACCCTGGAGTATGCCCAGCTGGCCATTACTGCCATTATGGGGCAGATTCCACAACCACTGTTTGCTGCCAGGCAATTGGTAAGTCATTTGTAAGTTTTTTGAACAAGGAAGAAATATTTATGGCAATTATATGTTACTAAGACGTAAGATTTTGACTACTCTATACCTCGGGTTCTGGCTTTGGTACACAGTTGCTTGCACTTGTGTGAAATCCCGCATGTTTACCTTATTAGCGTTAACATGTCCTCTCTTTTACAATATTGTTCTGGTGAAGGTCTTCTAATCACACTACCTTTCAGACATTTTCCTATCCAGGTTCATAACTTTATATGGGCAGGTGGTGCAGGTTTCTGGCGGTACCAGGTAAGAGAGAATGTGGTTGGTCTCAGCATGTTTTTCTTCTCCATGATCCTGCACGTAAAGTCATTGAATGTTCGAAACCCTTGGAAATGGTAACGTGCTTCACAAAAAATGGCGATTTTAGTGAGTATAAACTCGTCAAGCTGGGCTCAATCGTTGAAGAAAAAACCAAAAAAATTTTGAACGCAATGAGAGATGAAACAAATTTTTCTCACAAGCTTTCTGTTTGCCACTTTGCATCACTAGGCCGTTTGAATAAGGTAAAACCTCAGACAATGGCACACGAGTTCCGAGGAAAAAAGTCTGAAACTTCAGGGAGTACACTCCTATTGGAGCTGCCAGGTAGGATGGGGCCAGGCAGGGCAGAGTCCACCCACACGGGCCCAATAGGAGCAACCGTCCCGGAACTTTTAGAGTCCACTTTCCCCCGGAAGTCAGTTGCGATTGTCTGAGACGCTATGAACACTTACTAGGCCAACACCGCCCATTGAGGCACAAGTAGGCGTTGCAGAGCCTTTTGAGCCATAAGAAAACAGAAAAAGTCATATTCCTTTTCCCCTTTTTAAACTTCTAAAGCAACAAGATTCTTGAAACTTTACTGCTTCCTACAAATAAGGAAATTCTGTGAGCAACATCATGGTGTTTTCATTCATTTAATCCAATCTGATTGTCTACGAACAGGGAGCAATCCATGCGGTGATCCATTCACGAAAGGAGAAGGAAACGGGGCTTTGACGCGATTCTACTACGATCCGCTGAAACGAAAATGTCTCGCCTTTAACTACTTCGGCATGAAGGGAAATCAGAATAACTTCCTAACGCGAGAAGCTTGCGAGGTGGGTGAGATTTTACGGTTTCTACTTCAGCTCTTAACAGTAATGCAGGTTAATGACTTGAGAAACAAAATGATGTCCTGCGATGAGGACAACATTTGCGCGAAAACAAACGATGATAATAACGATGATTTTCTTGCGATCTGCGCGCAAAATTGGCCATTGCCCATTGTCATTGCTTGCACAGTAATGTCAGCAGTGTAAAAACACATGTCACACGCCATACTTGATCCATTTGACCCGCTTGATCTATTTTATCACTTCGCTATTGATTTAGTGAACCGACCAATAGCGATGTGGATCAAGTGGGGAACTCTTCGCTATTGGTCAGGCTATCGATTTGACCAATAGCGAAGTAAATGAAGCATCAAGCGGATCATGTGGATTAAGTATGGTGTGTGCCTGTATTCGCCATTCATTTCTTCAATCTACTAAGCTATATAGTGCTGAAGTTTAATAGTAAAAACTCCGTGTTGTAACACTTTTGAAAGCAGTTTATTTTGTCAATAAAACAAATGATATTTCTGTTCAAATTTTTTTGTATTTATAACAAAATTTCAAAGACAGAACTCACTTATCAAAGTCTCCTTTTCTAGAAAGCATGCCCAATATGGGTAAATCCTTGTGCAGTGGGTCAACCCATCCTGAACGCTGATCGCAAGCCCTTCAGATGCCACCAAGGAGCTACCTGCGCCTCTGGGTCTGTCTCCACTCATAACAATAGCAGAATCTGATTTCTTCCTATTTAGCTACTACTGTCACATCGGCTTCGATGAAACCACAACTGCTTGTTGCCCATCCCAAGGCGATCCTTGTAGCCTTATTGTAAAAGAAGGCAAAGGAACCCAAAATATACAAAGGTGGTTCTACAACCAAAAAACGCGCCAATGCCAGCCGTTTACCTACTATGGTCAGTAAAGCTTCAGATATCTGAATCTCAGGGTTTCAAATAATTGAGGAATTTGCAGGAATGGGAGGAAACGAGAACAACTTCTTGCTGCGTGAACATTGTGAATCTACTTGTCCTGTTTGGGTAAATGCTTGTCCACAAGGAGAAGCCTACCTCCTTCCATCAGGACGACCTCAACAATGCGATCCAGCAAATGAAGACACTTGTCCGTTGACCCATTGGTGCCATCCTGGTAAAGCTATCTACCTTTCACCTACAAACAAGATTACAGGCTTGGATTTCCTTGAATGTATGTCTCGAGGAAGAAAAGACTTACATGCAGAATGAAATAGAAATAATTTGATTATGGTCACTTTTTTACCGAAGACGAAAATGCTTTAGGGCCGGATATGACGACAACGATGTGCTGTCCAGGTCGGGTCGATCCTTGCACAAGAGCAAAATCTGAGGGCGAAGGACCACTGGCGCTGACAAGGTAGGATTCTTGGTATTTTTGCATTTTCAGATTCGTTCCTGCAATAAAATATCTTTTCGCTAACCTAACCTAACCGAATTTATATCTTTTTTTAGGTACTATTTTGATGCTGCCCAGCGGCAATGTCTACAGTTTGTGTTTCGAGGAATAAGGGGAAATGCGGTGAGTATCAAAAAACTCTAACTGAGCGAATTTTTGAGCAAAGGTAGATAAAAAGAAAGTTTGTTGTCTAAACTAATTACAGAACAATTTCCTGACTAAAGAACTTTGCGAATCGCGCTGTCCAGTACAACTGAATCCATGTCCAGTATCGATGAGCTCCCTGAAGACAACGGTGACTTCACAGTTCTTCAACTCAAATATGATTTTTTTTATCAAATCTAGCTATAGATGATGCCGCTTACCACTTGTTCGAGAACGATGAAGTGTCCTGAGGCGCATTGGTGTCATATTGGAGAGACGAACGATACTACCGTATGCTGTCCAAATGGTAGGTTTTCTTTGGATAATATGAAAGTAAACAGCTTATTAACATCTGGTGACTAAGAAGTTAACCAACGGGTCAAAAATGTCAGAGGAGAAGTGTAGATGGTAAGAAAATTACTTTCTTCCGTGCTGAGTTATTCCGAAAGTTTTGGCCGCATCTTTGTTAGGTCACCAGAACTCTTGGAGCACTGACTGACGAACAGCTTAGGTACCATCCAACTTGTATTTATGAATTCTTGCAACTAGCTGCATTTTTTTTTGATCTGTGCAGTCCTCGCGATATTATCGCCATGGCAGTTTGCAATTCAGCAGTGACGACTATTTTTTTTTTCTGATTTTCAAACAATTTTATCTTAATTTCTTGGGAAGGCGCTACTATGGAAGCAGAAGTTGAAGTATTCTAAGAATTTATATACCTTAGTATAAAATTTTATACTAGAAGACATTAGCTACATTATGCCCATTTTAGATTGCATAGAGCAAACATTCGAAGCCTGTGATCTGTTTATTTGGGAAATTTTTGTCTTTCACGAGCGCTTAAGAGTATCGAAAAAACCAATTCTTCAGCGCTAATCAACCTTGATTCAAACGACATGTCCGAAGAAATTTAAAGCTTAAACAGTAGGTTAGAAGAATCTAAAAGTACTATCGTATAGTCCGAGATTTGTTCTATTCGAATTTTTGATCTTTTCCGAGATTCTAGAACAGAATTCTCGAAAATCAGCGGATTGAGCAGATAGGGATGACGGGTGAAGAATTTTGGCATTTAACAAAAAGCGTTTTGGAGAATTATCGCTGGAAAAACCTTGAGAAAGAGAAGGAAATGCTGCATCGAATGAATGCATGTTTAAATACATTTCAGTCATTATTGTAAGAGATTCTATAGACGTTTGTAGACAAAACTTTCGGGACAACCTAATAGTTAGTTTGAAAGTGTGATATATTGTACTAGATAGTTCTTTCGAGACAACCCTAATAGTCAGTTGGGAAGTGTAATATATTATACTGAATCTAGTTCTATTATGTTTTTAGTTAAAGTTTCAACGAATCTATTCCTGTTACGTTTTCTGCTATAATTCTAATATATTTTTACGTAGTTCAGCTCTTCCAAATCCATGCACTGCTCCACCACGCAACCCTGGTGATGGTCCTTGGCATGCAACAAGATGGGCCTTTGATGGTAACAGCCGCAAGTGTGTACCGTTCGAATACCGTGGTTTGCACGGAAACGCCAATAACTTCCTTACCCGCGAAGATTGTGAGCAAAGATGTCCAGGTTGGAGCCAATTTCATCTTAAGTGCAGTGTCTAGGCAAGCCTGAGTAACTATACTTCTCAAATCCTGACTAAAAAAGTCAAACCAAGTACTCTCGCCCGGATCGTACTTTGTACGATTGTCGGTCGAAGAAGTACGGTACTGGGCATGTGTTTGAAGGTGAATTTCTCAGCCAAGACTAACTCATTGAGCTGCCGCCTGGGCAAAAACTTAATTAGAGACTCCAGTCAGTTTACTACCGAAAATTCGATTCTTTCCAGACATTGTCTTCAAGAATTATCTCGGCTTTAATGTTTGTTGAAATTGACATTATTCTCATTACAGTATTCACCAATCCCTGCAAATTGGGTGAACCCTATGCCCTAGGAAATAGGTATCTTACCTGTGGTCCAACGACACTATGTCCAACAACCCATTACTGCCACTTGGGCGCTGATGCAAATTATTGTTGCCCTTCGCTGGGTAAGTATAAGCTTTCGGAATTTACTCTTTATTTCTCTCAAAGGAAATTGTAACCACAAAGAGGTGGGTCCGAGTGCTGTGGCTTTTAGATATTAGTGCTTTAACATCTGATTTTGCTTGCTTGCGTGTGTGCCTGTGTACCGAAATTTGCCAGAACAGTACGAGTTATAAGGGGATCGAAAATCAACAACTTAGAGGTTTCATTGCTTCCCTCTAGGTCCTGATCCTTGTACTCAGCCGATGGACAGAGGTGTCGGGTCTGCACAACTGCAAAGATGGTACTGGAACGCACAAACTAGGCAGTGCACGGCTTTCAAGTTGGTTTAGTGTATATTTTCTGGAAAGAAAAGACTCAAGATCTATCTTTGCAGCTACTGTGGTACTAAAGGAACTCAAAACAATTTCCTGAGTAGACAGGAGTGTGAACGAACTTGCTACGGTAAGCCATTCTTCTCTTTCATACTCCACTTATTCCCCAGCTATTGACGAGACGATTCCTGAGCGGGAAGGATCCAACAAGACATGTTACTTATAGTGCAGTCATGGCACGCAGAGACAGGGCGAGATCGCGGCGTATGTTGCCGGCGTCTCACCCATAAAGCGCTCTCTTATCGCTCTTGTCGTCTGCTGTCTCTTCCAAAAACCTACTATTTCAATTAAAAGCAGCGGCGTTATGGTCTCTGCGTGTGAAGACTCGCTCATACCCATACTTCATTCGAACATTTCCCTTTTCACCCATGCATCCTCAATACCTTTCCCGTAGTTTATGAAAACCCGTGCGCCCTTGGTCAACCCCAGATGACTGCCGATAATCGCCCACAAACCTGCTCAGTTGGCTCGAACACCTGTGCTGCTAGCTACTGGTGCCACTTTGGTGCCAGCCAGGAGACAACCGTATGCTGTCCTGGAAGAGGTAAGAATAACAAGACTCAATCCCCATTAGGTTCCTAATTTAACACCCTCCCTTTCTTTTCAGTGCAAGGACAGGCAATTTGCCAACAACAACTGGCACTTGGCAGCGGCAACGCTGCTTTGCCAAGGTGGTACTACGATGCGCAAAGCATGCGATGTGTTCAGTTCTTCTATAGAGGACGTCTTGGCAATCAGAATAACTTCCTTAACCGAGAGGATTGCGAACAAACATGTCCCGGTGTGTCCTAGTCACTAATCAAGAAAAAACATTCTGTTGAAGCCTCGGAAAGGAAACATGATGTGAAACCTGCAGAAAAAAATAGAAACAAAAAAACAGAAATGTACAAATACATGATCGTACTTCTGTATGTAAGAGCTATATGATCACGTGCGTGGGAGGAGCTCAGGACTTCTAGGGGCGGAGTTTGCCATTTTGCTCCATCGATTTTTTTTCATTTCATGAGATAAATACGGAAAGTGTACAATTGAATGTTCGATTAAGCATATGCTAGGATAAATGGGATTTTTAAGAATTTTTGGGGCCGAGATACGATTTTTTTACGGTAAAGTTCGTTTTTGACTGCCATCATGTTGCAGTTCAAACCTTCAGGTGGAATACGAATTAGGCCGACCATTGATAGCCAACCTGTAGAACTTGCTTTGCTATGTCGAATGTTCATTCAAGTCACATCAATTGGTGGGAACTTACAAAAAGACGACGGTTGTAATAAAACGGTAGAAAATTACGAGACACTCTAATGTATGGAAATTTTTACGTAATTTCACGGTCGTGCCATTTGCTTACGCTCTCCCATTTTCTTGCGCTTTCTTTTTCTCTAGCAAACATCTGAGATTTTGGGGAGCCAGATGCTGTTTCGGAACTTCCTATGAGCTTACAACTCATCTTTTTGAAAATTTTGATAACGCCCACCATTACGGCTAGATCATGAAAAAACTGCTTTTTTAGAAGAAAAAATGTTGTAAAAATTGCTCTAAAAGTTTAACAAATAAGGCAGAGATGTAGAGTATATTGTTTTACTCAGGTCATTCTTATTATAATCAGAATGCACTATGTGGAACCACAATTTTAAAGGCATTAACCAAGCTATAGAAACTTTCAGCTTTTTTAGAGCGTGAGATAAAATCCACTTCCTATACCTCAGTCAAACTAGCCTCAAGAGTGAATCTAATGAGAACTGATGTTATTTCAAACTATTCCCGTTTTAACGACTGCATATCAACCAGAGCTGCGGAGGATTCTTGTTATTTCATCTTTTCATCTAGGATCGTGTGGTTTTGTGCAAGGTGAAAGGGGAATAGTGCAGTTTCTACAATTTGGCGAATACAAGGCTATTTGAGCGCGATATTAGTTTAAGTAGATATTGTAGAGATTTTTGAGATAAGGAAAATAGGAGCCGAAAAAGGTGTAATAAGGAGTGGTGGTGCAGGAGGAACCAAAGGTTGCCGCCTGTATCCGCAGGAGATATTTAAGAGGGCGAGCGCTGTGGAGAAGATTTTGGCAAAGATACATAAAAACTTGGCAAGATACCCTTCAAAAACGAACTTTTATAATCTGCTGGAAATAACTCTGATAATTTTGAAAAACAGGTTTGTTATAGAAATTGGAAGGCGCATTCATTGAACGCAGAAGTAAGTCAAAATTTGGAACTTTGGTAATCGAGAAAATTAATTTTTTTGTAGAAGCGTCCCATGAAATTTGAAGTTTCAAATATTGGAAATAGGGTTTTCATTTGAAATTTATTCTTTTATCCTCGAATTAAAAAAAGAATAAGATTCAATCCGCCTTTCAAGTCAAATAGTAATCAAAATGTCACAGAAATAAATCTGGAGGCTTACATGAACATGCAAGATGCACACTGTCTCATAACTTAGAACTTACTCTAGTACCATTTTTTGAGACTTTTGTGAGTTTTCATATGCTTGGATAATAAATGTGCAGTTGACAATTCCAAGATTGTAAACAAAAGAAAAGTTCATCACGATCCAAGGGTGAAAAACCTCCGATTAGCACCTCTTTCCAATCTCGGCAGTCCCAGAATTCTCACTAAAAAGTTTGACCAAACTTTTCATCACTGAGACTCAAATTCCTCAGTATGCAGAGATTCTGAAGGTCTTTTTTTTCATTTCATTTCATTCATACGCTCGAGGCGTTCCAAATCAAAAACAATGAAGTGTTAGTCGTACAGGAACACAACAGCAACAAAAACAAATCACCACGTCGTCCTAAGCCCAGTCTAGTCGACTTATTAAGAAAAGTGGTGTAGTAATAATGTGATAAGCTTGCATAACTTGTATCTCGGTTGAAATGAAATGAAATGAAAATAAAAAATGAAATGAAATGAATAGTATAGCAGTTGCTTGACTTCATCTTCAATAATTTTCCCCAGAAAATGAGCTAGAATAGCAAGATAGAGTTGTTTTTACCGCATAGACGTGTACTGAAAAATGCGCCTTTCAGTTCTGATTTCAATTCTCATTTGATCCTACAAAGTTATTTCCAAGCAGAGCTATAGGAGTTTGTTTCGAAAGGGCATCCTTGCCAAGTTTTATCTGGATCTTTGCCAAAATCTTCTCCACAAAGCTCGCGCTCCTAAATTATCTCCTGTGGGTACAGGCGGCAGGCCTTTGGTTACTCCTGCACCTCATCCGAATAAGATTTAGCTAGACGAATTCGTATAGTCTGTCATCGCAAAAAGGGCACTTATCATCGTTAAAGCGCGTACATGCGCTTGAGGTTGATCCGCTCACTCGACTCGCGCAGATATTCACGTTATATGGGCATCCGCCTCTATCCACTACATTTCTTATGATAAAAAAATGAAAAGTGATTTAATGATGAGGTCCTAAGATTTTCACATCAGCCTTCTAAAAATTTCCCATCTTTCTGAAGTGTCTGCAAAAGATACCCGTACCAAATGAGTTATGTACAGCCATCTCATCGCAGTCGCTTTGTGTAATTGCTCCACCCATTTTTATCTGCAGTAAAGCTGGCCGGTGGTAGAGCACTGAGAAAACAGTAAAAGGACAGGAAGAGGGGCAGGTCATAAAATGGATATCATACTTAGAGCAGTATCTTGGCAAAATTTCGCTTTCTAAATTTTTATTTTTCGAAGCCTCCTCGCCTTAAGGAGCCCATATCTGGGCTTTTCAGCGCATGAAAATGGCGGAAGTGAACTTTTTCCCCAAGCTTTCCAGGTCCGCATTCAGTGGAAAATACGAGTAAGTGGGCTGAGCGCGAAAAGCTTCCTGCGTATCTTCCCTGCATACGGACCTGGAAAGCTTCGCAAAAAGCTCATTTTCCATTTTTATGCTCTGAAAAGCCTTGAGGAATCCTCATGGCGACAAGGCTCCGAAAAGGTGAAAAACTGGAAAGCGAAATTCTGCTTAGACACTGCCTTTGAGAACTTGCATTTGTCAGTTCAAATTGAAAAGCAGTGCGACTACACAAGATGACTGTTGAAAAGAGGAGTACTGTAGTCGCAGATCAAAACTTCTTCTGAATGTAAATGTTCTTCAGTGTACATCAATGTTTGTCCGGAGGGCAACCCACTGATCGATCCAAGTACAAATCGTCCTGTACCGTGCACTTTCGGATCTGACACATGTGGTGATGGCTACTGGTGTCACTTGGGACTTGTCCCAGACGAGTATCAGTGTTGCCCAGGAGAGCCAACAGTGCCTGGCGCATGCCAGGGTCTGCCCGAAGAGACGGGAGAGCTCGGCGCTCCTGCTCCCCCGGCCACTCGCTACTACTACGACCAGGAAGAGATGACATGCAAAGAGTTCATCTACAATGGTCGCAAGGGAAACCAAAACAACTTCTTGACGCTGGAAGATTGTGAACGAACTTGCGAGGGTGAATCAGCATGAGTGCGCACTGTCTTCTACGGGTTTCAGCTTTTGATATACTTCAGCGGGATTTAATGCTTATGTCTACTACTGTTCCTTTCTTTATAGTTTCCGAGATAATGATTAGCTATTACTTCTATAAACTTCTCGGAAGCTTCTTGCTCGACTATTCTTTCTACTTTCAACTTTTCGGGCTCTTCAAAACGCCATAAAATTCAGCTACTCAACATCATTCCAGTGTTCGTGAATCCTTGCAACCAGCCCATCTCTCTTCCACCTACAATGTGTTCGGCAACAAATCCAAGTACTTGTGGTCCCAGTTCATACTGTCACATCGGAGCCACACCGGATACGACCGTGTGCTGTCCTAGCGGTAATACTACTCAGATTGCTGTCCTGTGAAATAGTATTTGGATTCTTCTTTTCACTGAAGAAGGAGACCCATGCTCGCTTCCGATGAGTCGTGGAACCGGTAATGCTTACCTGCAACGATGGTACTACAATCAACAATCAGCAAGTTGTCAACAATTCACATATGCCGGCCTTCAAGGAAACGAAAACAACTTTTTGACTAGAGAGGTGAGTTCCGCATTTTCCACAAACAAAAACTTATCTAGGCACCTGAAGTTGATTGAAAACTGAAAATTTGGGTACTAATCCACATTAATTGATCTACTTGAAAGATGACCTCTTGGAGGAATCAGCCGGTAGAACACAGATATCTCAATAATTTAGCATAGCGTATTTTGAAGGTTTATGGCAGAATATGATAGGCGTATCAGGACCCTGAATTTGCAATTTTGCTGAGTGGCGCGGGGAGGGGGGGGGGGGATCTTTGACGTGCTGGTTACGATTATGGTATCTGTGTAAGATGAAGAACCTCTCTCAAAGAACATCGGACATCTCCGTTATCGTGGCCGTATTCAACATGCTAAAGACCCCCTCCCCTTCCCTAAACAAAGTTTCTATTGAATTTAAGAGTGCTATCTATCTACAGTATATCCACCGTAAGTTCACGAGATTACCTATTGTGAAAAACGCATACGATGCTTATAGTCAGCATACCTATTTCCTCTGAAAACTTTGTAGAAATCCACAGATTTGAGTTCCTGGGCATGTGAGATAGTGGGATGCTCGCTGTTGATGATGACGTCTGAAATTATTTCACCAATTTTCAGGCCTGCGAAGAACGTTGTGGACCCAACCCATGTTTCGAAGGGCGACCGTTCCTTGGTGTAGATGGACGACCACAAACATGCTCAGCCTCCGCTAGTCTGAACACATGTCCAGCAAATTATTGGTGCCATATTGGAGCCGACATGAGCACTACCGTATGCTGCCCTGGAGGTATCTTATTACCACAAAGAGGATTTGCATGAATTTTTGTTCAAATTGCAGCATCTACTAACATCTGCAATCTGCCCATGTCAACTGGAGAAGGAAACTACAACCTTGAACGATTTTACTTCGATTCATCAACCAGAACGTGTCGTCCATTCATCTACAATGGGCTCAAGGGCAATCAGAACAATTTCATCACATTAGTGAGTTTCATGAAGTCCTGATCGTAAGACAGAAGCAAATTTCAAAAAATTTTAAATCGATCATCAAACTCTTTGAAGTTCTCCGCTTGTCACTTTTTCTAATTTGGGCTATTTCAATAAAGAAAAAAAATCGATTATCAGACTTTTCAATTTTCATAATTTTGTACTCAAACCCATTCTTGTTTCAGAGAGCTTGTCAATTAGCATGCCAGCCGCTCGACAATCCTTGCATTGGGCAACCGGCTACCACAGCTGCTGGACAGGTACTAATAGATTACTGTAACCGAGGTTCCAAAATATGGTAATTATTTAGGTATTGTTCTGCTCGTCAACAAATAAAGATACCTGTCCAGTCAACTTCTGGTGCCATGTCGGTGCCACACCGGAGACAACTGTTTGCTGTCCAGGAGGTTAGCCTTTAGTAAAGTTACGATATTTGAATTAATGTTAAATTATTTGTTAATTTTCAGCAACGAATGCCTGTTCCGTACCCTTGGCTCCAGGTACTGGTAATGCCGGGTTATCACGGTGGTACTACAATACTGATGATAGGGTAGGTTCAAATATCATTTTTCGACCGATAAATTTGGTAAGATGACAAATCGATAAAACATAGTCAATTTGAGTTGCTTCAGGAAATCACGTCTTTTTGTTCATTTTACTTCATAGCAACCTCAAAAACCAAATACATTCAAATAGTTTTTAATCTTCCACACCTTTCTTGAATCTACCGTACATGTCCGTAGAAAACCAATATTGCAATTGTACTTGCACCTTTCGTCTAAAACGTCTCCAAAATTCAATTAAAAAACAACGAGCAACCCTTTTCTGCCTTTCACCCTATATCATACTATGGAGGTGAATAAGTCGAACGTGTATCTTTTCTGGACAACTGCCATAAACTTCGTTGAAACAAGGATCTTTTCTTAAAATGGCAAAATGCCAATGGCGCGTCACTTTTATGCTTTGTTGAATCGATGAAGTATTTTTAGCAATGTCTTCCTTTCCAATATAACGGAAAACGAGGAAATCAAAATAACTTTGAGTCACAAGCAGAATGCGAAAGGACTTGTCCAGGTAAGTTGCATTTTCTTTAGCAGTTTTAGATACGGAAAAATCATTGGTCGGTGCATGCACATCTCTCTGACTAACCCTCTGCATGAATCGCTTCTGCTATGCTGTGCCCCTTTTGTCTTCGGGTCCAATAATAATCAGTAGTGATAATAAGATTCAACGCCGAGCAGAGTCGGGTTGAATTCGGGCGGGTTTCAGTGTTTGTGAACCCTTGCCTGGGTGAAGTGGGCCGTGACGCGAACGGTACACCAAGAGTATGCAGTCCAGTGAATCCGGAGCCGTGTCCTAGCGGTTTCTTCTGTTTACCTGGAGATCCTGCAGTGAGGAATTCTAGCTATTGCTGTCCACGATTGAATCGTGAGTTTTATCATTTGATTTGCAAATTTTCTACAAAAAAAAGATTTCAGAAGACCCTTGTGATTCATCATGGACGGAAGGCGATGGCGATGATTCATTCGAACGATATTATTACAATCCTGTAGAAGGAGATTGTTATCCATTCCGATATAAAGGCCAAAAAGGCAACGAAAACAATTTCTTAACAAAGAAAATGTGCCAGGAGAAGTGCAAACCTAGTGAGTTTTTTCCAAAAAAATTTCTCAACGTTTCCGCCTAATTGCTCTAATTTAGTAGCGAATGTCTGCTTTGGTGGTGAACCACCGCTGTCTTCACCAACTGGACGAGTTGTCCAGTGTTATACACAGCCATGTCCAGCCACTCACTACTGCCATCTTGGCAAAGATTACAAATCAACTGTATGCTGTGAAAAGAAAGGTGATTTTTAAGGTTTCTCAATTAAAAAGTTGAAAAGCGGAAGCACAAAATTGCAAAATTCTTATAAAGATTGTGGAGAGGGAACGGGGACAAAGAAGAAGTGGGTAAACAAAAGGGGAATTGTAACGCTATTCCCTATGACTATGGGCGACGTCTTTACGTTGTCAAGCGTCACCCTGAACCCGCACTTGTGATTGGTTGATGGGCGTAGGCCACGCCCATGTGTTGCTTATTGGTCGGTCGATTCTGCCGCCTCCGCCCATCTACAGAAGCTGTCGCTGAATCCTATTGTTCACAGAAACCCTTCTTGGGGAGGGGGGAGGAGTGCGTAAGAATTTCGTTTAAGGAAGGGCATAGTGACAGCAGCCCTCACAGAAAGTTTTTATCTCTTTTAGTTTTGTTAAGGTTACATCAAAAAAGGAAAAGAGGGTGGTGGTAGTCACGCCTCAAGCACATTGACTTGGGCCAACTCAAATTTTATACAATTTTCGAAATTATTTATAGCTTTTACAGACGAAATGCTACATGCATAGTTTCAATTTACTAGTACTAACTGCAGCTTTGGTGATTTCGTTTTCAAGTTTCCAGAAGTTTCGACTTCAGGGTCACCCTGCGATCAGCAACTTATGCTAGGGGTGGGAGATGCGGTGCTGCCTCGCTTCTACTACGACGTAGTCGAAGACGACTGTTTGCCATTCAACTACACAGGAATTGGCGGCAACGAAAACAACTTTCCCACACGTGCCCAATGTCAAATTACTTGCCCAGGTTTGCTTTTCATGAAAAAACTGTTTAAGGTCCTCCTTCTGTCACTGATATGTTCTTATCCAGGATACCGGGACTATTGCCCACATGGGAAGCCACATATAGTTGCTGGGATAATGACAAAGTGTGGCATTGATACATCATGTCCAATCAACCACGTATGTCACGTTAGTAGACGAAACTCCAGAAGCATTTGCTGCCCTGATCCAGGTTTAAAAGAGCACCTACTCTCTTTGAATTATGCCCTGCTAAGAGCCGATTTCAGCACAATTTTGCACATTGGAACGAGATCCCGGCCCATGCAGTGGGAATTTCACCCGCTATGGTTATGATGCAGAAGCCGCTGTGTGTCGAAAGTTCATGTACGTTCTTGGATTTTTACATATTGCGAGCTAAAGCTTTATCTCAGCAGTGCCAGGTCAACTTAGTGGCGGTCTCGAGTATTTAGTTAGGGGGGGAGGGGGAGGGGGGCAGAAATGTTTGAGGATTAAAGGAGTGTGGCGTCAGCCACGCACATTTATTTGTGAAACAAAAGGGAAGCGAATTTCTTTAGCTGCTTCCAAATTATTTTCCGCGCTCATAACTAACCCCGAAAGTCTGTTTGTCTGTCTGTGTGTACGTATGTTTTGTCCGGACCAAACTTTGCGACCCCTTGATTCATCTGACTAGGCGGCTGGAAGGCGGGGCTTCGTGACCCAATCAAGGCTAAATGATCAGAGAGCACGCGCGCGACAGAGAACAGTCTGCGAGCTGCCCTAATTGGAGCACAAAGTCCCGCCTTTCAGCCGCCAATCAGATGAATCAGAGGTTACATATACTTCGGCGCGAGGCGGATGTCGTAGGCTACTTTTTGTCATCGATCGATATCGATTTTATCGATTTCATGCGAAGTTTGACTATGGGGTTGCAAGTTGGCACAGGGGGATAAGTGAGCATGCTGATTACGAATATATCAATGACAGGGCCGGGGGACGCCGAATTTGCCAGTTACTTCAATACATTTTCGGTTCAGATTTGGTGGATGCAACGGCAACATGAACAATTTCAAAAACCTTGAGAAGTGCACAGAGATATGCTGTGGCAAAGGATTTCGCTGAAAGCTTCTCCAAAAAATTAACTCGGCAGTAGAGCCGAAATAGTATCTCACATTGAGGGTTACTCAGTATTACTTTGGGTTCACATAAGTCTACAATATTTGTACGGGGAAATTCCCATGTGTTAATCCTGTTCTGTTCGTTGTTGTCCGTTGTTATGTTATTCTCTGGTCACGTGTAACTTAGTGCTGGTGTTGTTTTACGTTTGGTGTAGGACATGAATGATGTTTGGCGGAAAAGTGTAACAGTGTCGAACAGAACTGTTGCAAGGTAAGCTGCATAACACTGCTTTCAAGGGTGATGTAAAGGAACCTCAAGATTTAGCAAGCTCAAGAAAACTCATCACCCTCGAAAGCAGTGGACAGTGTATAAATATCCCTGCTTGCTGGGTAAGGATACCTACCCAAACGAGAAAGGTATCCTTACCCAACTCAGCTCTCTTCGTTACTATGCATGGCATCGCTTAGCTTACCTGGCCTCAGATCTCAAACAACAGCATTCCTTAGTTCAATTGCTTTGGGTGGACTAACCATATCTGTTTCAATAACATAGCCGACCAAATGATTTCTCCTTTTTCGCCAATGCAGTAACCTATAAATACTCTCATTACAGAAGAACTATGCTTACTCTCGATTGATCGAGGTGCTTGTGGAGGAAGACAAACACGTTACGCATTCAATCGGCAAACTGTAAGTTATGCCCACTTTCTGAAGAAAAAAAAGGAGTTTTTAACGTAAAGAACCATTTGTAAATGTCGCAGTGTACTCTTCAACGCTCTGAAGAGCGTAATCATGAAGTTGCTGGATTTTCGCCTGGTAAAACTGTACAAAAGATTCTACAAAAAGTCGAGATGTAGGCTACATGCAAAAATATCTTATCAGCCCTGCACGAGTGCCCCCTTGTAAGAAGGTATTTAGAATTATTAGGTTGTAAAGAAAGTTCCGGGGCACTTTCGGAAATTTAATTTTCTGACGCATTTTTTTGGCGCTCAGTCGAACTTTGAAACAAGTTTTTTGTACTGTTCAGTAGAGAAAAGCATAAGCTTTCCAGAATCTTTTCTCATTTTTATGGACATCAAATCATGTTTGATCTGCACTTCAAAAAAGAAAGTCTTTCCAACCAAAGAAATTTTACAATTTTCCTTCCTACTGCCTTTTTTCTATGCAATTCGAAAATTTTGTCCAAATCATGAGTGTTCTGAATGAGGAGCCTTTCAACTTGTAACCCACGCGGCACACAAGTTTTGCGATTTGCGCTCAGAAGTTACGAACTGCCGAACTTAAGCTGTCGAACTTGCCTTTGACTGACTCATTTCGCGGCTGACGTCACTTCTGTTGAGATCGCCACGCCTGAATGATGGGTCCAAAAGATGTGTAAAACATTACCTCAACAATGTTCGCAGTAATCAGAACTTAGTCCGTCCTGTGCAGAACCAGAAGACTTCAGAGTTACTTACTCGAAAAATGGTGCATTTTTAGGGGCAAAAAATGGTCGATTTTTCAAACTTCCTGGAAAAAAATTTTTGCAGGTGGTCTTGAACAATTGAATGGTCTTCATAACAGTCCCAGCAGACTTCTATGTAACTACAGCATTTGGGCTCTCCAGCTTTTATCATGCCTGAGATAATCCTTCACGCCTTTTTTCGCGTCGACCTTCTTCCCTTCTGCGCGCGCTGACGAACCGCAATAAGGTGAATAAACCCCAACAAGACAACTATCTGTTGTAGACAAAATTGTTTTTGCAATGAAAACCGTAGCTTCAAAAAAGGATCAATCTGCTTGAAATTACAGCGAAAATTTGAAAAAATAATTTTTCGCAAGTGCTCCGGAACTTTCTCTACAACCTAATGATAGGTACATGCATACCTTCGATGGTCAAGAGACAAGGGCTTGAAAGTGATAGTTGTTTGAGTTCTTGCCCCCTACAAAAAGTGAAGGTTGTTTCAGAAAAATAGACGAAAATTTAGAGATACAAATCAAATTAGAAAACTTAGAAAATTCATATAAAGCAGAGGTTAGCACATCACCAAATCTGAAACCTTAACTTGGTGGTTTCCTACGCAGAGTTTCGTCTCCAGGATTGCCGTTAAAATTGGGTGACAACAACAACAAAGTTCTTTTCCAGTCAAAAAAGCGCTGTTTAGCTGTGACGTTAGTTGGGAGACCGAAAGAAGAAGAACTTGTCAACAACTGAATTGAACATGTTAAACATGTCTGTAAAGTTGTGTTGCACATCGACGCCAATCTGATTTTTGATGCGTCCTTCAAATTTTCACCCCCCTCATAGTCATTTCGTACGCTGCGACGTCGTCTGGATTCTTCCGCTCATCATTCTGAGCAAGTATCGTCCAAGCTGGAAAAAATTCGCTGCAAAAGCACAGAAAGAGAACAAGGTAAAGAAAAACGCGCTTTTTTGTATTTTTCACAAAAAAACCGGCATAAGCAAAGAAGTAAGCTCGGCGACGTTGTCTACATCATAGACAGAAACAAGACCTATCGAATGCACAAAAAAACCGAGTGAAAAAAGTTAAACTGAAGAAAAAACAGGAGGTTTTCGAAAACACCGTTTTTCGAGGATTTCTCGTTTAAATTCCAAAAAGAAGTTCCGCGACGTTGTCAGCGTGAAAATAGAGATCAAGAGCTTTAATATGATATATAGATTATCGTAATTGGGCTCCGGACAACGAAGAAAAGGGTACCAGAGCCAAATGCCCCGTGCCCCGCATTTAAGGTAGCGAGGTAGCGCGCAGCGCGCGGAGACGCAGACGAGCAGTGGAGACAGACCAGAGCCGACGGGGCATCTGCTCTGGTCGTGGATCTTCGCAGGGTCTCAACGAAACCCTGCAAAATTATATATCGTTGTGATCCTCATGAGACGGCCAGGAGCAGCACTGACAACGTCGCGGGTCTTGAAAATCACTCCATTAACGAGATAGACCAGCATTCATATGGCGACTCTTTGCGCAAGATTTGAGCGCAGTTTTTAGTTTTTATTGAACTCTAGCGGCTTTAATGAACTTCCAACATTCAACCGCAGTTCAGAGAAAGGTACAAAAAAGGCCATAAAAACGCAATCCTTCGGTTTTTTTTTTTTGAGCTTCTTTTGAATGTCACTGCTACATTTGCCTCATTTAAATTCATCGCTATACAATTATGTCATTAGTTATGTCATAATTTCCGGGGCTTCGCCCCGGATAACTTCTGTACTTCTCCCCTGGTGAAGGTTGTCTTCTATCATGACGCTCAAAGTGAAGGTTACCAGAGTACATGGCTCTATGTATCGAAGGTATGGGTACATGAAGAGTGGTTTATAATTCTCTCGCCTCAACGTATTTCACGAAATTTTTGTTTGAATTTTATGGAATTGTCATCAACTTTGCGAAACTTTGACAGTTCTCTGCTGTTGTAGATTACGACACGAAATTCTAAACTCGCTCTAAGCCAATAAAACCGTGCTCGGAGACATTTCACGGAATTGGACAAAGTTTACTGATTATATCGGCGTACGCGAAAACTCTTCTGCACAAAATCAAATTCTTCGCAAATTTTTTGAACGTAAGGCTGCACAGACCACACTTCTCTAGTAATGGAGAGCGGTCGGCTTTCGGAGTCACTAACGAATAAACAACTTATTACCTTTCTGATGTTTCCAAAACGAGTAATTCAGGTTTTTTGAACACTAGATGTTATGAGAGATAGCTCCAGTTCAAGGCTGAATTGTTTTTTTAGTTCGCCTTTCTCCATTCTTTGTTTCTACATAATGTTACTGAGGCACGCGCTATCATCCAAGATGTCAATTTATTTCTATCCATATTCACTTTATTGTGAGAAATATTGAAGAGCGCCTCAATGAATTTATGGATATAGGTGCAAACTTTTCTGTCAAGTCCCCAAGTTATCTGTCTTGCAAAAATGGCTTGAGCGATTAATCTGACGAAGATGTGTTGTCATATTCTACAGTCAGAACATTTGTGAATAAACTAATGATAAGGCTGAAAGCAATTCTCCACGACTTTATCAGACTGGAAGAAATACATACTATGTAATGAAGAAGGGAACAGCTCTAAACGCGCATTGTCGATATATAAAAAATGTTTTACCAAAAGACTTTGTTGAAATAGCTTACCACTGGGTACCAAAAAACTTTTTTGACTCAACTCACCAGTGGGTTCGTCACGTCATGCAATAATTATGTGAACATATTCTAGAGCCAATGTGTACCTTTCGATTACACGGGTTGCGGAGGAAATCTGAACAACTTTGTCTCAATGATGGATTGTATGGCCACATGCGGAAACGTCGGATTCCGATAATAATTGCGCTCCTTACCATCACATACACCATCCGGGCACGTCGATCCTCTGCTTTCGAGATTGTTCGATTACCTAGCATATTGAACGATTTGTTTAACTCCGAAGTTGACTTTATATATTGACTGCAATTGTTTATGAAAATGTTTGTATGTACGTATTGTGTCGATATTTATGACCCCAAATGTAAATCTCTATAATTACTTAAAAGTTTCGTTCTTTCAATGATGACGGATGACTACTTTCTGCCCCTCTTTGGGCACTTCTCGTGCGCTGCTAGGACATATTGTTCTAGCATGATGTGTATAGTGCAATTTGAATAAATTTTATAGAATATTACAATTTACGAAGTTCTCAGTTTTGAGAAGTTTACCTAGTGCATTACGCAATGATCTTCAAAATGAAAATTTTAATGCTTTCGACATTTTAGCGATAACGTTCGACGAAGTGACTCAACCGGAACAAAATTTAGGAAAGATTTTTTGCACATAGATGAATTCGAAAATTTGGTATCAAATTTGTTTTGTTAAATATATCGCCAACAGCCTAATGACTAAAGTAACATGCAACTACTTCGCAGATGAAGGAAATCGGACGGATTGAGGAGAGAGGGGGTAAGAATGAAGTCGTGAAATGTCTGAAGTTAACCTACTCCGGTTGTATAACAACTTAAGTTGACTCGTTTATACTGTAGAGATTAAAATTTGAGAAAAAAATTGATTTGGCGTTTAGACCAGTAAATAAGGCGTGGTTTCCCTCCCCCCTCCCGATGATTTCTCAAATCGAAATTTGTACCGGTATATCAATGTGGATACTAACTTTGGAGGCTTTGAATAAGAAAGCCTCATTTGACCCACATACAGGGTGTCCCAAAAAAATGTGAACACTGTTTGATCGTTAATAACTCCCTTGCTTTCATGTCTTTCGCCGAGCTTGAGGCACCATTCTGTAGAGCGAGGTTCAACTTAGATATGTAGTATGAACCAAAACTCCGATCTCACTTCGTTACTGTAGGATTATGGTAGGAAATTCGACAAGGGCTTTAGGCCGTTGAAGGCCATTTTCTGCCTCGAAACAGAACCAAACAAGCCAAAGTCTTTCGTAATATGGTAATGGAAGCCGCTGACTTCGAATATGAAATTTCCACTTTACTACAATGCTTCTTTTCAAAGTTATCCTAGGTAAACTGTAATAACTGACTTTCCAGCATGTGTCAAAATTGTGACTACACCATCAAAAAGGCTAAGAACACTCGTAAAAAGTTGTGTAGTAGAATCAGAGTGCGCGAAAACCCTACTACACGATTTTTCAGATTTTTTTGGAGAAAATTTGGTATGATGGCATGTTTTACAATGGTTACACATGCTGGAATTTCTTACCGTAATATTACAGTAATAAGGATCGATTGGTGATTCGCTCCATACTATAAATCTTAGTTGAACTTCGCTCTACAGAATGGTGCCTCAAGCTCGGCGAAAAACATGAAAGCAAGGGAGTTATTAACGATCAGACAGTGTTCACATTTTTTTGGGACACCCTGTACTTTCCTCAAAATTGCCGATTGGTTTGCTTGAAAAGAGTACGGTACTGGGCGAGAGTTAGGAGCCAAAATTCTCGCTAATGAGCGGATTGTATAATTCGCAGCCTCCAGCAGAAGAGGCTTCCTAATAACTCTGGATGAAGAGTCTGTACCCAAATATGCGTTAAAGGCAGCGTACACCCAAAACAAATGCAACAGATGTTGCGACAGCAACTGCAACTGCAATTGCAGCTTACGCTGTTATGGATTCGTTCGGAGGAGGCGGAGCGAAAGAAAAGGGGCAGCCTGAAAGAAAATTGAGGGGGGTTTTCTCTGCTCAGAAGCAACTTTGGGAGACCGGACCAACGCAGTTGGTCTTCTTCTGGGCCCAGTATACACATGGTGTAGAAAGATCTAGGAAATTCGGTAACTCAAATTTTGGGTGTACGCTGCCTTTAACTACCTTTGATTGACTCGGATGTTCGCAGTGAAAAGGAGCACAATTACGAAAACCTCTTGCCGCAACCTTTCCCAACATTAATGAAACAGAAACTTCTTGCTGAGACATGGTTTACGCAGAAACCCTTTTTTATAAGAAGAAAATGTAGGTAAAACAAACAAATGATATTGAGTGGGTGCAAAAGTTTTGACAGTTCTTTGAAATAACCCGCAAATCCCGTGCACTAAAGTAAGCAAACATTTCGAACTGTCTCCGATGCAGAATTTCTTCCGCTTTTCAGCTACTATATCCACGTTGTGACTCATTGAGAATGTGCTGAGAAAATTAAAACTTTTAAAAATTAAAAACAAAAAATAACAACCTTTCGTTTCCACCATGTCCAACTTTCGCTAATTTTTAGAAATTTTGAACTTTTAGCTTTGATAGCCAACAGGTAGAGCAAACCTTTACCAGTTGAAGCTATTTTTCTTTTTTCTTCAGCTCCTTTTCATTTTGTCGGATAATTTTCCAGAAATTTTGAATTCCGGAAAAATCCCATAACCTGTTATTGCACCAAACACTGCAAAATCTTCAGAATACTGAGGTTTACACTCGATTGTCACTACTACTAACCGTACAAAGTGATTGAGCGATTTTCGCCTCAAAATATGGAGATTTTGAAAATTTGGGTACGTCAGTACGCACCCGTGAATTTCAAAGATCTGCGATTACCCCGCAAATCCTGCCTCGTAAAGAAAAGACAACTGTTAGAAAGGGGAGAAAAAATTGCATTGAACGGTAACTTGAGTGTTTTGTCATTTCATGTTCTGTGTTAGAATAGGCCGAATATAAACATAGATCTACAAAAAAAAAGTTTCAGTTCGCAAAAGGTTCGGCCTATCTGCTGATTTTCAAAGCTTCCCCAAAAGTCTCAAAACATTTGAAAATTAGCGAAAGTCGTACATGATGAAAAAAAAATAGTTGTGATTGTTGATGATTTATGTATCATCAACCTCACAATTCTATAATCCTAATAGCTTACGGGTATTCCCCATAGGCTATATTCCCCAATCGCTTATATTTAAGTGCCGAATCACTCACCAATGAGTGGCACCTATCTTCCAGGGGCCGCGCCAAGCCGCGGCATCCTCTTTCTTGCACATATTTCCCGGACATTCTGATTGTGCACGGGTCAGCTCCGCCTTACTACCTATATAAGGAGCCCCCGATTGTATTATAGGTTGCTCCCCCCGGTTCAACACCGGGGTTCGTCTGTGGATAAATTATTATCGACACCGCTATCGCCTACGACACTTGGTTCCCACCAAATTGGTGCATCGACCAGTGAAACCACCTCGTATTCCATCTGCAACCGGAGGAATCGAGGCCACAAGACCCGCGTGGCAGGAAGAAGAACCAACCGACTATCTGAAAATCTTTGTGTATCCTTTTCGTAAGCGATCCAAAGAGGTGTAAGAGAAATCGGAAGGAATACCACTGACTATCTGAAAATCTCTGTGCATCCTTTTCGTAAGTGATCCAGAGAGGTGTAGGAGAAATCAGTCGGTCGTGTGAACTATTCTTGAAAACTCTCTGTGCATCCTTTTCGTAAGCGAACCAGAGAGTGGGAAAGAATCAGTGTTACCACACAACCACAGACAACTTGGAAACTTTCTGTGCATCCTTTTCGTAAGTGATCCAGAAAGTGAAAGAGTAGTCAAGTAGAGCACATAATCACATTAATGCGTGAAACTTTCTGTGTATCCTTTCCGTAAGCGATCCAGAGAGTGGAACAAATTTTGTGAGTGCAGCACATAACCACATAAGACCGTGAAACTTTCTGTGAATCCTTTTCGTAAGTGATCCAGAGAGCGGAACAAAATTTTGTGGGTGCAAATTTCCAATCAATCTCATTGATCTCTCGCGAATCCTATCCAAGGACCGGAGATCAGTACATTGAGATTTGAAAGGAAGGTAACTTGAGTCACAAGCGCTCATTTTGCCAAAAAATCAAAGTTCGACCAAGAACTCTTGACTTAAGAGGATTGAAACCCAATCCTTATCTGGTCAAGGTCCAAGACACCTTACCGTCAGCGTTCAAGCCATCCCGGCACGCTTGCAATTCAGAGACTAGCACCACAGCTGCCTCTACTCAACGGATCACCAGAAGATACGCCTACAAGTTAACGAAACCTCGCTAACTTGTACCTTCGATGCAACCATTTCTAAGGAAGAAAAGAATTAGAAGTCGGTATAGCAAAAATGGCCGCTCTTCAACTCTTCAAACACAAAATCAACAACGCTTGCAAGCTCGTAAAATCCTACGAGTCCGAAGTGGAGAACGTAGACGTCCCCTTCACATTTCCAACAACAAAAGCGAATGTGAAGAATATATCAAAGAAAAGGCAGGAGTAATAACAAATCTCCTCAATTCTTTGCAAAACGCTGTGAAATTGCAAGAAACACAGCTCAACGCTGTCATTGAGTACATCAGTGCATGCAGTGAAGAAAAGGAACGAGAGAAGCTGATGGTTGAACTTAGCAAGCATTTGGAGCTGGAAGCACTCGATCTGGAAGTGATAGCAGTTCAATGGCAAAACAGAATACAGTTCAGACAACATGAACTGAGGGAGCAAACGACACTTTTGCATACGCCTGCTAATAGTATTCCGAGTCAGCCAGACAGCGAGATAGGAAGAGGCTCAACAACGGAACGAAGTGAACGCCAGATCAGGATCCGGAAACCGCTCCTAGAGGTTCCTACATTCTCTGGCAACTTCAGAGAGTTCAACAGTTTTTGGACAGTGTTCGATTCACTTGTTCACTGCGACGAAGACTTATCGGACGGCGACAAATTCCTTTTTCTAAAGCAAGTGCTCAAAGGAAAAGCAGCTGCTGCTTTGAACTGCATCCCTGTCGTTGGAAACAAATACAAGACAGCCGTAGACATCCTGAAGAAGCACTTTGATCGCTCTGCCAGCATGGCAGATATACTCATCAATGAAATCGAACGACTTCAAGGAGCAAAAGACAATCCCGAAAGTTGCCGAGAAACTTTCGAAGCAATCAATTCGCGGATCATTCACCTGGAACAAACCGGAATGAAGATGAGCGCAGACAGAATCTGGCGCCGACTAATCTTGTCGAAATTTCCTGAAGCCATCTGCGCAACCGTCATTCAGAAGGAAACCGTAGTTGGCGATCACTTTGATGTTTCGGAGATCCTAGACGCGATAGATGACATCATCTTTCTTCGGGAAACGACCGCATTAACAATGAAGACACTTCTTCCAAGCAACATTCAAAGAAGCAACCATTTGGACACAAGTACTGAAAGTCCGAAATGGAAAGAGGAGGAAGAGTATCTCGAGCAGTCTCAGTTTCCTGCTAGCACTCATCATTTGCAAGTCTCTAAGATACTGCAAAGAACCAACTTCGATCATCGCAAAACAAGTGAAGTACCCGTTGCACGGCGAAATGGACAAAAAGTCTACAGCTCAACTAAACTGCCAATCGTGTGCCAAAGCGTACTTCAAACGGCTTCAGCCATGATATTCAACGAGGCAATTTGGGATTATCAACCCATAACAATACTGATTGACTCTGGCGCCCAGCGAAGCTTCATCAAATCAAAATTTGGTGATGAGCTTAAGCTGCCAGTCATCCAAACGACGTCATTCACCACATCAGGAATGGGAGTGAAAGAGACATTCAGTTCCAATGAAGTGCAAATTACTTTGAAAAGCTTTCACAACGCAAAGAAGCTTAAGAAGATATCAGTGCACACGAAAGAGAAGTTGACTGCCAACTTACATACAGCACATCTCACAGATGCAGATGTTCAGTTCATTTCCAATAAGAACTTGAAGATAGCTCAAGATACGCTCACTCATAAAAGCGTCTTGCCTGAACTCATTATTGGACAAGATCTTCTGAATCTCGTCACTGTTCACACCGAAATAGTGCTCAAGCTTCCCTCCGGGCTCATATTGACCCCGACCATCTTTGGATATGTCATATCTGGTACAAGCCGTACCAACGTCACGGAGATCGTCGGCACTTTTGGTTGTACATCCATGATGCAGGAAGCCTCCAAACTCGCTTCTCACCCGCAGCGACGCCCCAAATAGCTTACGACAAAGAAGACGTTCACCGTCTTCAATCAAAACGCTACAGCTGGAATCAACAGGAGAATCTTCCAAGCGCATACTGAAGTAACATCTCAGAAGATCGCGAAGTCGTTATCGAAAAAGAAGAAAACCCGGACAACTGCTGCTAATCGCGAAGCTAAGGCAGACAGACAACGATGGCTGGCCAAAGTTCGCTGCATATTAGGCTCCAGTTCCAGCCCCAACACGAGGAGTGCGAATGGAACTCTTGCCAGAACTCTTCAACCGACGACACAAGCTAAGATAAAGATGACGGACATGCCCAAGATCACACATCACAACCATCTGATCACGAAAACGCCGACTATCACGAAGACAATCACCGATAACAATTCTGTCAACTCAAAATCGACGAGGGCAGAACCGACGAGGAAGAAGAGACGACGACGAAAGGCGAAGCTACACCATGGAACAGCAACCACCACCACAGTTGTTCACCGAAATTCTCTTCTGTCTGTAGCTCCCATAAGTATGTCTAAGTGTATACAAATCTATGCATTAGTTGTATCTTGTGCTTACCAGATTAACTTCTTGCTTGCTCGCCCGGAGTGTTGATGATTTATGTATCATCAACCTCGACAACCAATCTAATAGCTTACACTCGTGAACACAGCTATATCTCAATTTCTAAGTACAAATGCTTTTAGGAGGTTTGATTGTATTTATTGATTTACATTTCAACAGATTTCGCCTCCTCCTTGCTCGCCCGGAGTGTTGATGATTTATGTATCATCAACCTCACAATTCTATAATCCTAATAGCTTACGGGTATTCCCCATAGGCTATATTCCCCAATCGCTTATATTTAAGTGCCGACTCACTCACCAATGAGTGGCACCTATCTTCCAGGGGCCGCGCCAAGCCGCGGCATCCTCTTTCTTGCACATATTTCCCGGACATTCTGATTGTGCACGGGTCAGCTCCGCCTTACTACCTATATAAGGAGCCCCGATTGTATTATAGGTTGCTCCCCCGGTTCAACACCGGGGTTCGTCTGTGGATAAATTAATCGACACCACTATCGCCTACGACACTTGGTTCCCACCAAAGTGATTTCCAGTGATTATCTCACCACTCTCTCAATGAATCACTTGTAGATCTAGTAGCTGGAAAGCGGAAGAAATTCTGTATCAGATACACTTGAAATGTTTGTTTATTTTTACTGTAATAGATCTGTGGATTATTTTAAAGAAAGCTTACAAAACTTCTGCAAAGACCCAATATGAATGTCACTACGACAGTGGATTCACGCAAGCTATTTTACCTATAAGGGCAATATCCAAGACGCTATTCTGAACTTGCTTAGGTATAGGCAAAACTTCAGGTGCTTTTCAACACTCAGAAAGCAAGATTTCTATATAGCCTTCAGAAGAGTTTAGAGAATAAAACGCAACACAACTATGTGGCAATGTAATCTCTTTCATTCTTCACTTTTCACAACCCAAGACCATATTTGTGAAGCAAAATTTTTGACCATTTAGGAAGTACTTCTAATCATAGAGGAAGGATTCTAAGCCTTCACACAACTTTGCTGACTTACTTTTTTACTTCAACTGGATCCACAGAGAATTTACTCTGTAAATTATGACAGTAAGTGGTCTGAGTCGTGAAATAACAGAGCATGATAACAGCGAACTCAGTTCATTAGGTCTAAAAAACAACATGCATTATAGTACAAGTAGAGAACAACAAAACACCATTTGATATGCTTCCGAATACTAGTGGAGATACAAAAAAATGATAATCTTACGACCGAATAATCACAACTAACTACGGAAACGAAAAAGTGATAAGCAAGTGCGATGAGCGAGAAATTCGAGAAGCATGCAGAATATGTGGGCAAAAAGTGCGTCGAATAATCATTGTCACTGATTAATTCACAGCGAACAGAACACAATGCAGAACAATTTCAAGACATATTAAATCCTGAGATGAGATAATGATGGCAACGAAGTGATTGATTTATGCTTGCAACAGAGGAACAAAAGCTTCAATAAACAAAGGCTTTTATGATATAGCATACTAGGAAAACAGAAGCGGCGCAAAGCACAGCTGCTGCTTTAAGCCCTGTTTCCATGAAATCCTCCGCGGCCCTAAAACGACACCACCGATATAGAAAAATATTGGATTACATTACTCACTTCATAGCTACGTGAGCCTCGACCGCTTCCTCCATATCCGCCACGTCCACGAAATCCGTCACGGCTGTCTCGGTCCCGATCCCTGTAGTTATCTCTTGGCGCACTGTCGTAGCCGCGACCTCCCATCCTTCCACCACCGCGAAATCCGCCCCTACCTCCGCCTCCGCCACTTCTCTCACTTTCATAGCTGTTCTTTCGTTCACGAAAGGAACCATGCGATCCATAAGACGAATTCTCCTTTTCTGAATGTCCACCTCCCTAGAAAAAGATTAGGAAAATAATTTATTCGAGGATTTAAACCTATTTCTGAATAAGAGTCAAATATTATACAGGAATAAACCATGAACAACTATCAATAATAACGCATGTAAAAGGATGATTTTCTCACTGGAACCCAAATGTTGGGTGACATTTCACTGCCGGAAGTTTTTTTTTTCTTCGAAAAAATTAAAACTTACAAAACCACCAAATCCTGACCCAGTCGATTCGAATCCTCCAGACAGAAATCTCGTCTAAAAAAATATTGTAGTAAAGTTTGAATAAAGACAAGACGTTTCACCTGTGGTGGAGATGGCCTTGAATCCTCCTGCCTTTTCACCTGAACTGAGACAGTCAAAATGCAATCTACTTCTTTGAGGCAGACAAGATATTTTTGAATTTTCCTCCCACTGAGATAACTCTGCGAAACTATATAACACATAATAACCTGTTCTTTTGTATCTTGAGCAAACGTTTGCTTGACTGCTTCACCATCATCCCAGCCGTCGTCGTCGTCTTTTGCTAGAAATCAAAATTGCCTGAGATTCTATGGATTACGTAATTGCACACTAGGCTCTACCAGTTCTGAATATACGCTATCTAAACAGACAACAATACCCATCACCAACTATACGCGACCTTGCATCATGATCTAAATTCATGCATTTCGAAAAAGCAAAACGTTGCGTTCGGGGGGAATCGAACCCCCGTCGAATGCTTGGAAGGCATCCATGCTAACCATTACACCACGAACGCGGACGCTGACGATCGCACCAGAACCCGTGACAAGAGCAATGTTCGCTGCAGAGGGAGGTGGAAGGGGAAGGGGGGGATGAGATATAATGGCATTTTTCAACCCCATGTTTCCCTTGGCTCGGGTTTTCTCAGATGGCCGTGATCATCAACAAACCTAGTGGATTAGCCTTGATGAATATGGCCCTGGTAGGCTAACGTAACTATGACGGGACTTCGGGACCTAGAACTGAGAAAAGGCTAACCCACCGGGTTTGTTTATGAACACGACCACAGAACAGAGTACGCAAGGGGGTTTCGATAAAATGTAGGGGTAGAATCTCATGATGTTGCAACCACCCCACTGTCTCTTGGCTAATCGAGCAAAGCAGACTCGATAGAAATAGCAAAAAGCAATCCCACACTCCTCTAATCAACTCAAACATATGTAAGAAGCTTGTGCAGTAAAACGCTGCGAATTGATAAGAAGCCAAAAATGAAAGAGCATGAAAAATAAAATTCTACACTACTGGATGAAGCAAACAAGAGTCTTCCATTGCATGTTGTAGAGTAAAGAGAACACAGATTTGTGAAAGAGGAACTTTATACTCACCCGGCTTCTTTTGACTAGAAGTCTTCTCCTCTTTGGGTGTAAGACTCTCTGATTCTCTGCGACTTTTGTTTACATTAGTGCCAGTATTCTCTGACTCTCTGCGAATTTTTGTTGCAGTATCATCTTGCACCTGAACAGAGACTGAAGTTTGGATACAACAAGACATGGAATTACTCAAGGTACCGAATAAAGAATTCTATCACCAAAAAAAAACTTTGCATGCACAAATTTCCAAATGATGATTGAAGATGAAATGGTTCCTATGCCGCCGAGCAGATTTCCGAGAAAACATTCGTGATGCTTAGTCACCTTTTCGTCATTCTTATGCAAACGCAAATTCACTGCAGCGACATCGGAAATGACTTCTTCGTCTGGCAACGGATTTTCGGTTCTAACCACCTGATTAACAGCCTGGGGTGGAGCTGCGAACTGAATTTGGAAGCTTTGAGATAAATTAAACAACCTACATGTAAATTTTTCAACGAAACAAACAGATGATGATTGACAAACCTTCGCCTTCAATTCAGGAGGCTGCTCACAGCCATTGATACTTGGCCTCTAAAAACTACTATTACTCTGAAAGCCACTAGCTTTGTGAAGTAACAACCTTTTCGATAGCTGCATCGCGACCTGCAGAGCGCATGAAAACTCCAGCGATGTCATCATCTGTAGATGGATCTGACACATCCTCCTCATCAAAGGTCTTGGTGCAAAATACCGTTTCGTGCGTTGTTGTGAAAACCCTCGGCTAATCAAGATTTGGAAACAGCCCAAAAAAGAATTATGGGCGCCACTAACTCGGTCAAATTGGTCGCCGTCAAAACCATCAGGGTTGTCGTCCGCATCAAAGGAAATGATAGGCTTCTCAGGCGTATTCACACGTTTTATCGGTGGCGCAAAAGGGGTGTCTTTCACCATGGTCTTTCCTCCATCCATTGTTGGCGATGCATGTTCAGCTCTTTTAGTCTCATTGCCAGTTGAGAGGAGCATTTCAGTTTCATTCTTCTAAAACTCATCAAACAATAATCAAAGAGATCTCTGCACATCTGGTCTAACAGCCTGACTCCGGTGATGATGTATAGTTTTGCAAGAACAAAATTGAACAACCGAGTATATTGAGTAGTAATAAAAATGAGAGCGAGTACAGAATAAGCAGCAAAAAAATACCTTTTGCGATGCCGCAGGATTTAGGACTGGTATCTCATCTGTAAAAATAAGCTATGCGTAACAACGAAACCCGAACATTTGCCTACTCCCAGTTATGTGTACCACGCATAAAAGCAACTTTACCTGCTTTTATTTGCTCTTCAGTGGCACACTTTTCAACCTTTGCATCTGGGACATCGTCCAACGGAGCAGAAGCGCTTTTCCATGAAGAAGTAATATCTTCACCTAGAAATCAAATGGTAAAACTTCTATAATTCTCAACAATACGTAGGCAGTTGCAAGTAGTAACCTTCAGTGAACGATTTCCATTCATTTTCCTCAGTACTCGGCTGCTCAGAAATGATGGGGGCTTCTGCACAATCTTTTCTGCCATCCTATAGCACAGGATCATCAATGCAAAAAGTACGAGGTCAACACGTTGACGACAACGTGCGTTTTTAGTTGTCTGCCTCTTGAGGCAATGCCTTCCACGGATAAGTGGAAAACTTTTAGCTAAATTCATGCAGATCGCAACTACAGTAATTCTGCAAATCAGGCGAGGAAGGAAAGAGTAATTTTCTAGAGTTAGAGTGTAAGAGAACTTCTGAAACAAATGGTTCCAAAACAGCAATCTTTTCGACAAAATTTAAGCCATGACCCACCATGTGGGTCATTGTCGTCAATGTGTTAAAAACCACACTTAGCACACATGAGTATAAACTAACATCTACTGGTTCCACTAAGTTGTCAGGACTGTTGGAAGTACAGAATCCGTTATCGGGAAGCCATTTCGTTCTGAGTGATTGATCTTGCTGAAACTTCTAATTTTACCCAACTACAACAAAGCAGAAGATGCTTTCATCAGGCCTGGGTAGAACAAAGGATGGTTTCCAGAACTCACGTTTGGCGAGCAATCAAGATGATCATCGGATAAAATTTTAGCACATTCTAACCGCTTCGGCTCCATGACTGTTTCCTTAACAGAGAACAATTACTACAGAATTTTTCACATTTGAACTTACCACCTCAGCTTCAACGTCAATTTCACTAGGAACCACTGCATGACCTAAAAAATAAGATCCCTTTACTTTGAGAGTACACAAAGCAAAGACTCAATTTACCCAACATGCAACTCAGCTGTAGCTGAGTGGCTGCCAACCTTATGATTATTTGATACAAATCGGGACACACGCATTCGCTGACTGTCCGCAACAATAAAGGCTTATGGTCTTGGCCAAACCTTATGCGCTTTCAGGCCATACCTCACGCGCTTTCACTCGCCACGCGATCTGGCAAATTGCCACAAGCGTTCAAATTCAACATTGGCAAATTGCAAATCCATAGCCCATAGAACTTTCCTAGATTGATAAAATATCCTATCCTCTGCATAATTAGGATGTGCGCACGCTGAGTCATGAACAACTGGAGTATTGCTAAATTGCGTCGCTACTGAAATCGGATGAGGCATGGCAAAGGCCTATGGTAGTTCAGAAGAATACTAGCGTATGGCATGAGCCTCCCCACTTTTCCAGAAAGCTGCTTTCAACAGGCAAAAACTTTTTCTAGTTTTTTTCTTTCAAGAATCGCATGCACAGAGTGTTCCCAGGCACGGGTGCTCACTGCCAACCCTCAATTCACTAAGGGCTACCTACCCGGGTACGCGGCTCCCTGAACCCGGCAGGAAATACTGCTGAAATGAAGGGCCCGGATCGGCTGCACGGCCCATTCGCATTCCTGGCTGCAATAACACTTACAAGGAAAGGAAGGTTGGTGGAAGTGGCCTTTTGAAACGAGATATATACTGTCTTGTAGAGCTTGGGACGCTGATTCCAAATCTACCTTTGCTATCTGCTGCGGGCTTCTGGGCGAGGAGTTATGAAGATTTTTGTGAGTAAAAATCTGAATGCGAAAGTAGGCTAAAATCAGTCGTAACATTTTTTATAGGGCTTAACTGGTAGTCGGGTCACTCGGTGCAACAAATATTCTTAATTCAAGTACACCACTTTGCTGCTGCCTCATCTGAACATTGGGAAAAGGTTACGACTGACTTTATCCTATTTTTGCAATCCTTCATAACTCCTCGCCCAGAAGCCCGCAGCAGATAGTAAAGGAAGATTTGGAATCAGCGTTCCAAGCTCTACAAGGCAGTATACATCTCATTTAACAAGGCCACTTCGACCAACCTTCCTTCCCTTGTTAGACACACTAAGCGAGCCGCGAACTCAAAGCAGTATTCGAGCAGGTTTGGAAGCATCTTAGTCTCAACAGTTTACCGAAACGGACTGGTGCAAACCACAGCCCAGTGTGAATGCAAATTATTGCTTCGGAACGAGAAAATCGCTTCAGAAGTCCAAGCATATACGCGCCCTCAGTCCCTACTGCAGCAGATCATGGCGGGACGGCGCTGCAGCCAGTATCTGCGTCGCGAAGGCCGTGCCCCAGCACGATTTTCTGCGGTAAGGACCAAGAAGATAGGCTTCTAGAGCGAGTTCCTCGTTCCGAAGGAATTTTTATTAGGATATTTCGATATTAGGATATTTCGCAGCAGCAACCGGGCTATGGTTTGCATGGACAGCCCGCTTCAATAAACTGTCAAGACTGAGGTGCTCCCAAATCTGCCAAGACACTGCCTTAAATCTGAGCGGAGGCCGACACGGGCCCTTGACTGGCTACAGTGGTCCACCCTCCAGCCGGCCCTCGGAAGCTGCGAACGGCAATAATAATTATGGGCCGCGGCTCGTCCGTCCGCTCCCAGTGTCTGAGTTGTGACAAAAGAAAAAAATCGCGTCACTTCACTATCTCAAACACATTGTCTTAAAAGTATGGCTAGCAAATTCTCACCGTCGCCCGTTGTTTCTTCTTGTGAAATTTCTCCTACATCCCCAGTTGCTACTTCATCTGACATCCTTCGTTTTTCTTCTTCAATAACATGATGCTCTTCTTTGTTCTCGGTGGCGGTAGTAACAGGCACATTCCGAGTATCCACTTTTTGGAGATTTTCGGACGCCTCTTTAATTCGCCTTTTCTCCTTACCTAAATAACAGATGACCGATGAAAGAAAAAAGTACAAAGGAAAATTTTTCGCACCATGGTCGCGTTCCTTGCAGTACTTAACTCCGGCCATCAGAGTTTCCACTTGTTCGCACACTGACCGGGATGGTGCCACTGAGGAAACGTCTAAAAATGATGAAAATGGTTGCTAAGGAGTCATCGCGAGCCAGTAACCATTAAGATCCGAACTGTGATCGCTTGCCGCCGCCTTATCACTTCCTTGGACATTCTCTTCTGACGGCGGATTGTCAAGCCCAGCTTTATTTTCGCATAGCCTGCGATATATCAGAAGTCATTTGGTGAGGTATTCATTTCTCACGCAGAAAACAGCGAAAGACATATGAAGAAACCAGCATAAAGCATCTAGGGACGCAAACTTTCAAGCTAAAGGTTAGATATAAAATACCAATCCATTTGGGTACTTCCTCCAATGAATTCGAACTTCTCAATATCATATTCACTTTCTTTTCTGATAAGCAAATCAGGGACCTAGCAGACAAGCTTCCACTGATTCGTAAAGCATTTGAACCAACAAATAATAGACTGGCAGCAATGCAGACGGCTAACTACGCAATTATAACGAGTTTCAACTCACGATTGGCTCACGATGTTGTCACTATCGTTTGCAAAGCAGCGTTTGAAACCAGATTCTTTGATATCAGAGGTTTCTTCTTGGCTTGTCGAACTTTTCGCAGCCTAAAACTTATAACAGGGCCTGAGCGATATATTTTCATATCAGTGAATTAGGTGATTGAAGACTGCAATCATACCTCAGTGAGAAACGATGGGACCTCAGCGAGCTCAAAATTCATGAGGTTCTCACACGTACTGTTTCCATCGTGTTCTAAATTGCAAAAAAGATCGACCAAAGTGACGTTACAAGATGCCTTCATTATTGCACTTGGCTAAGCTCACTAGTCAGAAATTTTATTTTACATCTTATATTGGCTACAGGTGTTGCAAGATTGCGACACCAGAGCTCTTGCAATGAATTTTAAACGCACTTGCATCTTTATTGCCTTGACCACTTAGTGTTTCCACAACTGGCAGAGCGTTGAGATTATGCAAGATAGTAGACAATCGTGCATCAGCATGAGGGGTTGAAATTCCTTGGAGAACAAAATAAGGAAAATGACACCTTGGTTTCAGGACCATGCAACAAACCTTTGCTCAATCTGCAAATCAGCTCATTTGCGGTAAGACGGTCAAGACCTGTATTTTTGATGAGCTCATCAATTCGCTGACATGGACGACCGAAAATGCCCTCGAGGGTCGAGCATACCAGACCACAAGCAAAAATCAAAGACGCCTACAACACGGTAGTTTCAAGCTGTAAGCACGCCGCTGACGGAATTCGGCGGAAGATCTACAAGCGCATAGCAACCGTAAATCTTCCCTGACTAACTTGCACTTTTGGTTACGTATTTCTCAATTTTTTGAAATCCTGACGGGTTTTTTTGGAGCGAAGAGCAAAGGGTCTGGTGCAAGAGGAACGATAGATATTGTCAGCGGCTGCTGCCAACGGACGGAGATGCATTATTTGCCTTATAAATAACAAATTTTACACTCAGTGGGAATAAGGAGAGTTGAGATAAATGCTTTACATGATAAGTACTGCTCGGGGCCCCTGATTAGTTCACTAATGTTATTTGTGATGAGAACAAACATGAAGTATTCGAAGTTTTCACCTTTGAAACCTTTTTTGTACTTTCCACGTATTTTCACACCTCTTCTTCAAGCTAGCAAATTTTATTTGACTCTTCGGTTCAATTGAAGGCATGAATGAAGAAAACGCTCTAGATTTCCGCGTGCGTATAGGCACAGGTGAGGGTAAGAGATGAGCTGGTTACTGACAACCGCGAGCTATCGTTGCTCTTGCTCGCCACTCAAGCGCAAAGAGACAGATAATTTATGATAGATTCGCGAAGAATCTAGAGCAATTTAAAACGCTACTTATGCACCTAACTCCAAATTAATCACGGAAAATACAAGATACCATCTTTGGAAAGATAATCAACCAGTAGCTTTCAAAATCAAGCATACCAATCCTAGGCAATTCTGGGCGCTAAACCTTCGAAAATATAAGCAACTAATCTACTTTGAAGCAAAAATGAGGTAGGTGCGGCGTGCAAAAGAGAATACGGTAATTAACAACCACTTACACGGCATACTGGATTGAATGACGTATTATCCTCTCGCAGAACATCAGCAATTGTATCGACAACGCTACGAAGGCCACGCTGACGGTAGACATCTTTGCTATCAGCAATTTCAATCAAAGAATCTCGTTTCAACCACATTTCTACTAATCCACCGATATATCCTGAAATCAGACTGCATATGGGTACGCAGAAGGTGGAGCTCAAGTCACCTTTACACGTACGCAAATAGACAGACGACCACAACACTAATTCACAAACATGTAAAGATGAACTGAGCTTGTACTGCCCCCGCCTTTGCGTATATACACACTGTTTACTTGCTGCAAGAACCATTCCTTCCCCAGCCAAATGCGACTACGATCATAATTCTCGCGCTACAAGTGCTCAGATGGTACCACGACATGTCCAGACCAGCCACAAAGGCCTGGACAGTAGTAAGCGGAAAATGTGAAAAGGGGCGCAGACGGCTGGGAGAAGGAATTGTACCGCTATTTGCAAGGAGTAAGCAGTATGCAGTTCTCAAGAATACCGTAGGTACTCTACCTACAACCCTGCATGAACCTCAAGAACAGCACAAACATGAGATGACTGAAGATGAGTATAGATTGAAGAATAACATGAAATGTTTACTGCCTGCTACTCTTTGAAAAATCGAAGAGACTGAAAGTGATGAAGAACATACCGTTTGGATGTTGTTGCAACAATGATCCCAATTTATCCGACTCATCACTTTGCCTCTTCCATCCGAGTGATGCTGGTCTAGCATGAAAGATGGCCCGAGTGGCTTCGATCACCATCGCCAACGACATCAAAAATACACAACATCAGAAGATGAGAGAACACGTTCCGCCCTTTTCCTTCTAGTGATAGTTTTGAAAACCAACTGGGTAGACAATCTGTTCCAAACCGCTGAAGAATGAGAACTTGTCAAGATGAGAAGCGGCATCCTCTGCGATGAACTCAAGATCGGCGAAGTTACGGTACGCAAGAGCATCAGCAATCACGAAGCGAACGTGCTGCGCTAACTTCATTCTTCCAATCTATAAGTTCTTTCACTAATAATTCTACACAAACACAAGAAAATGGCAAAACTGAACTAGCTTCCTCTCCAAGGACTCATTCTCATTGAGCGCAAAGTCGATGCGTAGGATACGGTAGCAGCTAAGCTGTAACAAGAAGATTACATATAATATGCATGATAAACAATTTTATACATATTCACTCCGAAGATTATCAAAAAACTGTAACAGCTTGCCACAACCGAAACTTGAGACTATAAGTTTCTGCAGTAAAAAAACGCCATAACAAGAAGTTTTTCACATGACTAGGATGAAGGAGCAAATCACACAATAACTAGCTGACCTGGTCGATACAGCGGAGCATGTCACGATTGAATATAGGAGCAGATGCCATGTCCACCATTCTGAAAAGTGAGCAGTTTTTGAAGGAACAGGCGCTTGACTATATGGCGCTGATAATTAGCACACACAAGACTCTCAGATTGGATGTAGATTCTTATAAATTGACTGGGATCTGCAATCTTGACCACGCCTACGTTTCTGAAGACGTCCACTATAATTTCAAAACTTTTCAAGCGGTAATATGTATAAATCTCTCTACGTAAGATATAACTTCTGCACGCCCCTCGTCCATCGAACGCTCATTCCTGACTACTCCTCGTTAAAAATACGAACACAAAGGCCTTTTCATAGTGGTGTCAATTTTGATCACCTCTTCTGTCTGCTCTCTATCAACAAACACAAAATGAGAGACGGCGATGACACAAACGAAAAAAGCACCTGCTTATTTCGTCCACTTCACTAGTCATGGATTTATTGAGTAAGCAAGAGCACTCACGACTCAACTGCTCACAGATCTCGTCATCCGTGAGGTACAATTTAGCCAACACCATCGCATCTCTGAACATATGATGTGGAAGACACAGTCACAAATTCAAACGAATATAATGTCTGACACTTTTAACCCAACAGCAGCCATTTCAGCAATGGCAGCGCGACGACGACAAGTTGGGCCAGCCATTATTTGGCACAGCAGCCGTGTTACTGTAGCGGCTTCCCACACTTCCTCAGACGGGGCCCCACAGCTGGACAGTCGCAGCATTAGCGATGTGACATAATTGTCCCATTTGTCCTTGCTAGCTGCAATAAACATAATTTTTAACCTAATGATTATGGGTGAGATGAAAGACTCACAGATATTACGGTCGAGAAGCTCGAGAAGATCATGTTCATAATTGTTTTCCTGGCTCAACTTCCAGGCGAACTCTGGCTGAACACATTTTCTCACGTTGCAGCTGACCATTTGCAACCACATACCTCATTCAAAAGCAGACTCGCATCTATCAGGGAGATCAGATCACGCGATCGATTTTGTCCTTCACGTTTATACAGTTCCACGTAAGTTCTTTGCAAGTGGTTGACTTGAAAAAGAATAGAGTTCACTGATCCCAAACTGAATCAAAGATGGGAAGATTACGAAATCAGAAGAAGTTATGGAAAATTGCACATTCTATGAATCAGTCTATGGCGCAGAAAGGCCACAAAGCAAAAAACAGAAATTCAAGCAATCGACGATTCAATGGGAACATATTTCGCTCAATACTCAAAAACTTTCGCGACGGTATAGCATGCTCGCTCTTGCTTTTGATAATGAGCTACTACTTACGGATGTCCTTCGAACTTGGTCTGGTGTCCGAACGTCCCGACACGTAAAGTGTTAGAATGTCGACGTTATGCGATTCACTTCGGTTCACGGAAGTAACCTCTTTCGGGATGTCTAACCCCAACTGGAACACACTTTTGTATATTAGCATACCATGGTGCAAATATCACTTAGAAAAATCTGCTAAATAATATTGCAATTTTCTGTCTTCCCAATGCATGTGATTTCAGTTTTGATATGAGGCAGACGGCTCAGCAGTGTAGTTGGAACCGAATATACGTAGTCGAATAATTAATTCGAAACATTCAACTCTCGAGAATTTGAATAGTCGAATATTTCGAATCGAGGAAATCCGATTACTTGATTATTCGAATAGTCGAATAAATGTAAAAGGTCTTTATTCAAATAATTCGTTGACTCGACTCAAAAAAGGAAGTTATTCGAACATACGAATCGAGAAGTTTGAACGCTGTTTGAGTAATCGACGATTCAACTATTGCATTTGAGAATTGAGTATTACAAGCGAATATTCGAATATTGCATTTAAATATTCGGCGATATCCACTTATTCATTTATTTGAATAGTCGAAAATTCCAAGTTCGATTATTCGAGTACTCGAAAATTCGAATTTTGGAATGTACCTATATTCGAATATTCGAAGTTGAACAATATAAAAATCGGCAATTGGAACAATATAAAAATCGGCAATTGCCTAATCTTCGTCCAATTGAAAATTTTTCAAAAATCAATTATTCGATATTCGTTCATTCGATAAAAATTTCCGTTCGTTACTACTATACTCAGCAGGGTCCCAAAGGTGGCATACCACAGACAATTCGAAGACAAATGAGAACAGTTAGCTACTCGAATTCCGACTTTATGGTAATGTCTTGAAAATTTCTTGAAAATTCGCAATACCTCAACGCCCAATTTGAGCATGTGTGCACGAAAGCCTCTAACTACTTGCGGTGAAGAGCGACACCCTTCAATTGAAAAGTCGCAACGGTGTCCTCTCGCCACACATTTCAGACGCAGTACCCTCAAGCTTTTTAGCACAGTTGCCAAAACGCTAAAAAGACGCAAGATGCAAAAAAAAGAGGTGCGAACAGCCAATTTCTGCAAAGACAACGTTGTCGTCACCTTCTCGCTAAACCAGTTTCATATTTTGCTATGCTCAAAACATGAGTTTGTTTGTCAGGAGTAAGTCTACGGGTACAGAACCTACTATTTTACTTATATGACTCAACTCAACTGACCTAACCCACGCGTAAAGCTCATGTATTATCTGTTCTATGAGCCTCATGATAGCTACCATCAAACTGCCGCAACATAACAAAGTTTAATGGGGAAAAAATACGCGAAAAAGCAATAACTTGATCATTCTATTAATATAGAGGATTTACCTGTGATTCTTTTCTTGCAAGCGCCTCATTTAGCGCCAGCTGCGGTCGCTCATCAAGCCACTCCAAAAGAGAAGGGAAAAGATATACTTTGGTAGTCGAACACGGCTGCCGCACGATGCGTAGCTTCCAAAAATCTTAACGACAAATTTGCAAGAAGGGTTTCATACAGAGTTGTGTTCACTTCATTGCATTACACATCACAAGTTTTCGTTACAACTTCTTCCTATCTGATTTTGATTTCACTCACCGCGAACCGCGACGGACAAAATTTGTTCCCTGTTTGTTTCACATACAGATATGATAGTCGTTTTTACCGGAAAGCAGATTAGTGCAAGGCTGCAGCAGATGACAGGCTACAGTTCGTCGACAATTCATAGACATATTTCTGCGGCGAAGATTGTCGCACCATTTTCAAAAATTCATAACTTCTTGCTGCCTCAACAAATTCGCTTACAATTAATTTTGTTTGATGAAAGAGAAATCATGCCTTTTATAACAGTATTTTAGCTGCTTTTTGGGATGTTGCATAGATAGAATTGATAAAACAGAACTTCTCGAATCGATTTTTCTGCGTTTGGTAAAAACAGTGAAAATAGGAGTGATTGGTATCGCAGGGTATATCACTTGTTTTTCCTGACTCAGCAAATTTGTGTGAATCGTTGTCCTTATGGAAATTATGACCTTCGCGCAAACAGTGCAAAACACCCTAAATTTTCCCAGCAATTTTTTCGAGAATCACAACCTTTCACAGAGACGTGCAATCAGCACAACTCTGTTCATTTGAAAAGACAGGCAATTAAAGGCAGCGTCCAGGCAGATTCTCGACTTCTATATTTTTATGTTATCCAGGCCTTTCCATGGGCGCTGATTCCGAATATGGAACTCAAAAAGGGGGGGGGGCAGCCAACATGAACGATAGATTGTGCCAGCCATATGCGTTGCGTAGGTCAAATATTTTCTGAATCTATACTTACGCTATGATAATATCTAAAATTTTGAAAAAAACGCTGGGAGCTCGGTACCGCCTTATTCCTACTGTTCGACACCATTTTCAACCTAGTGGAGAAAATATCGCTTCAAAAAATAAGGCTTTAGTAGCGGCATATTGACAACCGCACGAGTACAGTATGCTTATTTCCAGCTCGTTCATCTTGGCATACACCCCTCAAAAAGCGTGAATTTCTCAAAAAAAAACCACCTTTTGGGGCTATTTTGGGAAACCCGGACGAGTGCTTCTGACGTTATCCTTGTCGAAAGCAAGTATTAACAGGTAAACAATGTAAGTTCGACTGTGTTGGTCATGTGAAAACACGTCAAGGCTGAGGAGATTTCGTTCATAAGGGGTTGGCCGTCCGAGGGAAGTGGGCCTGGTCGTCGAGCTCGGATCTGCCTGGACGCTGCCTTTGAGCTAATGCTGCCTGCACCGATATTTCTTGCATGTTTCAGATTTACGACCAAACTCAGAGAAATCGAAATTGAGTGGTTATTTCCTAACAACTCTACATTCGCAGCGATCAAAAGAAAGCAGGCAAAGTATCGTTACAGAGAGCTAATCTAGCCTTCCAAATAGAATCAAAAGCAAGTGAATTGGCTGAGAAAGCAAAAAGTTATTTGTGAAAATAGTGCGACAGAACTTTAGTGCTGATAAAGCGAGATAAAAAAGTCAAATAAACTCCGGAAAAAAAGCCTTGTCTCCTCCCTCTCTCCCCGCTTAAGCTATAGTATCAGCAGAACAAGCGAGACTGTAATGTCTGCCTTACAAAAACTACAGATGTCATTGTCGCCGAAACTTCACACTATTCCTGCACATCTCAGAGTTACAGGATTTCGAAGAGTACTGTGGCCGTATTCATCTTGATACCTTGAGGCAAATTCTACCTCCAGGTAGTTTTATCACTTATTATCAGCAAGTACCCGTATTCACAGAGTACCTTGAGGTAAATTCTCAATGTAATTTTGCTGCTAATGAGTGATAAAACTACCTGGAGGTAGAGTTTACCTCAAGGTATCAGTGATGAATACGGCCAGTGGAGGTGCCAAAGCGGCGAAATCGATAGGGCTAAAAGTATCAAATATCCAAAATATTTATAAGTAAAACTCATAAGCCTTCAAAATTCAACTAGCGATCATCCGGTCAGCCTAGATCGGACATACTTCACGGGATTTCAGTCGCGACATAATTTGGGTACACTCCGATTGTTTGTAACTCATCAACTCTGTATGTGCAGAAAACAGAGCATTTTATTAGTCTGCAAAACTACGTACACTATTCAATACACCGTCTGCCCTAAGTTAGAAAACCTTGAGCTGTTGACAGCTTACGTTAGTGAGGCCACTATCAAGCAAATGCCCAAATCGCAGCTCAAAATGTCGCTTCGGAAGTGAGAAAATCGCTTCGGAACACCGATGAGGCATGAGGACCCTAAGTCGGCACCGGCCCCTCCAGTAATTCCCTTCCATCCGCACGCACCCATGTAATCGCCGTTCCACAACCGGCCTGTGGGTTCCCCTGGACGGAATTGTCGGGGTCTTCGCAGGTTCTCGACTTCATGTTTGGAATCAGGGACCTGAGAAGGCTCCGGAACGACCTCAACAAGGAAGTCGAGAATCTGGGTGGACGGTGCCGTTATCGGCAAACTGCCATATCGCGTCGCGACTCGAATCGCTCAAAGGTAGGTGCCAGAGTAAGCGAATATTTTATTCAGGTTGGGATCAGGGTCAAGCTTGTGATGCGACTGTCGCAACGGAGGGTCGTAAGAGGGTATCTAAGGTGGGGGAGGGGGGCGTAAGAGGAGGTAGTTAGACTAAAATACCCTAGGCTTCAAAGGGAATCAAAAAGCAAGCAATTAGTTATGTTCTTTACAATAAATCTATAAAAAAGTGGAAATCAGAATGAAAAAGATAAAAAATCTGTAGAAATTCTAAAAAAAACATTTACAAAAGCTCAAAACACTTTCGAAGGATGTATTATTTGATAAAAATGCTAAATGTACCGATTGCCCTAGAGACCTTGCTTCTGAAGCCTTCCTGAAGTCTCACACACTCGACGAAAGCGAATGTCTTTACCAGCTGTGACCATCATAAAATTCTAAATCTTCTTGTAATGTTTTTTACGAGCTCATATAATTTATCTGTACTTTTGAGATGCTCCGCTATATCAGTGCAAAATTTATTGTTATTTTGTTAACTGTGGATTTTCTTATGATTTTATGTACGGTAGCAAAAAGTCAGGAGAGGGGGGTCGTATCTGGGTCGCATCTGAATTTCTTCGAAGCTATTGAAGCTTGTTAGCTGTAATTCCGCTGTAATATAAGGCCATCCTCCTGCTTTCCCTCATAAAAATTGCAGGCTGTTTTATGACTTCTCTGGTAAGTTACAGAATTTCAAGCTCAAAAATCCCATTTTTTGCTTTTTAGGATCGCATCTAAATTTGCGAGAGTCGCATCTAGATTTTTTCGAGCTTATTGCTCCTCAAGAGCTGAAACTTTTTCTTTGGATAGTCTGGGCACTATAATACAGAATCTGTGCTTTGCAGCCTCTCAGCCTTTTCCTGGCCTTACAAGGGAACGATCCCAACTTAAGGTGGCGAATTGGAATGAACCGCATACCATTAGATGCGTCTTGATGAGCTGATTCCAAATCTACCTTCCATATCTGCGACAACGTTATCTGGAAGAAGTTATGAAAGGTTAAAAATGTGAAGTAACGGGGGTTTTGATGCATAATTTGCTTTAAAATCCAACTTGGAAGTGCACGACTAGCAACTTCAAGGAACGCTCACATTCTAAAGAAACACAAATAAGTGCTTTTGAACAATTAAACAGTAACTAAAGTTCTTTGGTAAAAACTATGAGCAATGAAAAGTCCAAATTTGGCAAATATACCTCGAACATTAGTTGTTCAAAAACACTTATTTGTGTTTTTTTAGAGTGTGAGCATTCCATAAAATCGGTACACTCAGTATCATGCTAGTCCTACACTCCCAAGTTGGATTTTGAAGCGAATTATGCTCTAAAACCCCCGTTACTTCACATTTTTAACCTTTCACAACTTCTTCCAGATAACGTTGTCGCAGATATGGAAGGTAGATTTGGCATCAGCTCATCAAGACGCATCTAATGATATGCGGTTCGTCCAATTTGCCACCTTAAGTTGGGATCGTTCCCTTGTTAGTTACGAATTTTCAAACTACCGTGCTCATGCACGTTTTTGACGTCGTTCTGGACGGCGCTCAAGCGGTTTTTTTCGCGGGAAAAACTGTTAAGAGGTAGGAAGTAAGCAGTCGAAAACATCTTTTGTAGTTCAAGAATGTCATTTTTTCTCCATGCAGAATCAAAAAAAACTTGCAGAATCTCAAACATTATTAAAGGTGTGTATGTGTGCTACAGATGATGGACGCACCCATTGGCCTAGAAATTCTGCTTCCGAAACCTCACTGAAGTTCTCATGCAGGTGTTTTTTGAGATTGACATTCGTTTATGCAGGTTACCGCGAGGAATGTGGGCAGGAAAGGTAAGGGGGATAAATGAGTGAGGGTGAGGAGGGGGGGGGGGGAAGGGGGGGAAGGGGGGGGGGGTCGTACGGAAGGGTACCTTCAAAGGGGGGGGGGGTCGTAAATGAGGGTCCCGGATCTCATCAGCACGCTTGACCCTGGTTGGGATCCACGCAGAATTGACGTCACTTGGATTGAAGCCAGCATGGTGAGAGGCGTTAATTCTGCGTGGGACCCCAACCTGAACAATTCGCTTACTCTGGCACCTATCAAAGTCTTAGCAAGCGAAAGAGGAAGGTGAGCTTGCGTGTCTCTTTCTCCACTCGAGCGGGGGGAGAGACCGACAAGCATTACCTCCAATGGGTGACTTCAAAAAGGTTCCTCTTCTTATTTCTCACAAGAAAAATCGAATAGTCACAATGGAATTTCTAAATTAGCCTTCTACCGCTATAGAGAGCATTGAATGCCGGTTCTAAATCTGATCTCACTATCTGCCGAGCGCCTCTGCATCCCGGGTTATGAATGTTTTCTCGGTGCGAAAAATGAAAGAATAATCTAGGTAGAACCCTTTTATAGTCTTTCCAGCACTCAAACAGAGCAGTGTTAAGTATGAGTATCTTGAACAGAATTCTTCAAAAGGAGTGTTCTAGTAATGATCAACAGACAATTTGCGCAAGTTTGACGAATTCTGTTCTAATTAAATTCAATTTTTCAACTCAAAAAACGCTCAAGACTCGACGTCTAGAAGCGCTCAGCAGATAACGTAGACAGATTTGGAATCAGCGTTCGATGCTCTTTATAGCCGTATCGATATCATGACTTCGACCGAACCAAGAGAGGTTGTTCACCCTGAGGTCGGCAAGATGAATCCTTGATGCTGATGCAATAGGCCCACCAAGAACACCACAGCACTTCCTTCCTCCAATTCATCGCTAAACTCGGAAAAGTCTCCTAGGCTTCACGCCAGCCTGCCCACTAGATGTGGGCAGTAGTGAGAGCTACGACGGGCTAAGCTACGACGTAGTTACCATCAGAACCTACCACAATAAATTTGTCGAGCCGTAGTCTTCCCGGTTACCTTGGTAATCTGATTTGATTTTACTGTTCACTAGTAGTCGGATGACCTCTCCCCTTGATAAAGGCATTTGGTGATAATTCTACACATTGTGCATTTGACCTCCAAGTTCGTTAATGATACGATCACTGTTTCTGACACATGGTGTCCTGTAAACACACTACACGCGACTGGGTGGAAATACGATTGGCTTAATGCTGACTGCACGACCTCAACTTTAGCAGACCTCAAATTAGCAAATTAGCTGTGAGATTAGCGTACCCAGTGTAATTGCTAGGAGTGATGGTGTTCAAAATGCTACCTACGAATGGTGGCAGGCAATGTCCACAAATTATGTAACTTACCGGCCCTTGTGTCCACCGTAATGCCGCTCATCTTTTGCTGAGGAGAATGACGTTCATCCATAAAAAGGCAATTCTGCAAATAAGAAAAGATTATCAAGGACAGAGAAAGAACAAAACTCGCATATATCGAACATATAGCTCCACGACACAAGAAAAGGATGAGGAAGAATTTGACGAGATTTTGACCGATCACGTGCCGCATGCTACCGTAACAGCTGGCAATAGAGCGCGCTTCCCACTGATTCGATGCGTCGTACCTCGGCTACGCATCGTGCCGATGTTACAAAAAGAGAATTAAGCATCTTCATTCACTGGTTAGAGATTGGGAACATTACAGTGGGTATGAAAAATTGATATGATTCGTACTCTACCGCGAAAGATGTTCACTGACTTGATACGATAGGAAAACAAGGTTGGACTTGTTAAAATGTGTTTGTTTCATGACTCCGATGGAGAAATGCGGAGAAAAGCGGTCACCAGCGGATAAGTCTGGTGCCTGCCAAAACGGAACTACATATCGTACGGTAGTCGGCTTGCAACTGAAGCAATCTCCAGATTCGTATGACGTGCAGTGCAATGTCACACCCACTCGTTGGAAACTAGCACAATTCTGTCAATCTGAACAAAATGAAACCTAACGAAATTGTTAATAAGGCCAGAGAGCGAACTGGGTCATTTAACACGCTAAGTACGAGGATGTTACGTAGCTGTCTGGTGAGTAGCGGTAGGTGGACGTTGAGATGAATTCTGTGACTAGCTTTCTAAGGCCCCGGGCAGACTTCACGCGATTTGGTCGTCGCGACTGAGTCGCGACGAGACAACTGTTACAACATCATTCCATGCCGATCAACTTGCATTCGGTTGTGATACTTTTCCAGACCGAAATTTTTGAATGTGAAATGAAAATGAATGGAAATCTTGGCGATTAGATCGCGACGATTAAGTCGCGTGAAGTCTGACCGGGGCCTTAAGGGTGATTGGTTGGCATGTTGACCACAAACATCATATAGGCCCAAGGCATACCTCGCGCGATTACAGTCGCTGCGCGATTCGGCACTCAATCCTCTTCACCACTGAGACGTGAGCCATGAGCTGCATACGGTAAATCCGTGAAGAGCTGATGAAATGCCGAGCCGCGGAATAAAAGCGAGTAGATGGTCGCTGGAGGTATGCTTGGGCCATACACTTATTACGATGACGACTTTGTGGAAAGCAGGCATTACGTTTGTAACTACTGCAACCTCACACATCATCTTATCGGGACCGGATGAGTTGAGATGAGTTTATCCTTGAAATCAGGAAAGTCCGCAACCCACTTCTACAGAATCAAGGAGCCGATCACAAAGGCTACGGCTGGACGAAGGCACAATAACTTTGGGTGCGAACGCGGCTTTATTAGCCGCAGAGCGCATGAGGCACAGGGTTAATAGCGGTGAAGATACGCGCTCGCCATTCGCGCCCGCTCAACTAATACTGCTTCTGCGCCTTCGTCCTGCAATAGCCTCTAGATATTCTGAAATTGGGAGATTAGAGCGTGCTTCGCCCTAGTGTTTCAAGTAGTTGATCCTAGATATACAGAATTCAAGTGCGAACTTGTCAAACACACAGTCAAACTTGTTTCAATAAGTAGGCAAAGCGTAATTGAGCCTCTTTCATCAAAAGTAGAAAACAACTTTTCTGACCATAACCACGTAGGCTGCACGTCAGGAGGTACGCCGCGCGCGGCGCCCGCTCTTCCGCAAAGCCGCGCTCAAATCTTGGGGTCCTCCGAGACTCCCCGCCAATAGAGGTTCCGGCGGCAAAAACAGGGGGATGAAGGTGGGGGCAGATACATGACTTGCTATAAGTAAGACTGCCCCAGAAGTGCTGCTGTTGTAAGGGCTGAAGTACGTTGCGGCGTCGCTTCGCGGAAAATTCGCGCCGATCGTACCTCCTGACCGTCCCCCAACCACGTACAGTCGAGTAGATTTCCGGCTTAATATAGTGTGCTTGCACAGAAAGTGAAATGGGGTAAAATTTGCGCGCAAATAAATAGTTTTCACTGTGACGCCGGCCAATTGCGGGCATAAAATGTCGGCAGCACTGGCGTGGCTACTTCTTCAAGCGCAAATTTTAGGGTAGAGGACTATATGTCGCCGAAAAAGGGCGGTCCTCGCGGTCATTTGCGACAAATCCGCACCCTTGTATCGTCGACTCTAAAAATCGTGACGACGGTCTGCAGTGCGGCCAGTGCACGCCGCACGACACTGCCGCCTAGTGTTTCGCCAAAATTACGTGGAGAAGGTGAGTTCTTGTGGTTTTTCTTTTCCTTTTTGTATCTTTTTTTGCTTGCAGGAACTTTCGTGGCTACCGCAGGGAGCCTACACTGCTGAAAAGCAAGATTGCCTTACGTTAAAGCGGCAGTGCCGTGCGGCGCGCACTGGCCGCACTGCAGACCGTCGTCACGATTTTTAGAGTCGACGATACATGCGCGGACATGCGTTCCTGCAGGGAATCCGCGCGGGACTCTTCCAAATTCGGCGACATATAGTCCTCCACCCCAAATTTTACCGCATTTCACCTTCTGTGCAAGCACACTATATTGCGTCCAGGCAGATCTGGACATATGCGGTTCTGATGTGGAGTAATTTTAGGGCCCTAACTAAGACTGCCCAAGTGGCAGCTCAAATGGTGAACTCACAGTTGAGATATTCGCCTCCAGACTGGACCCCGGGATCGTACTCGCATGGATTCATGGTGCGACACATCAATTTTGCGCGAGGACCCACGCGTGTCGCGCCATGAATCCATGCGAATACGATCCCGGGGTCCAGTTTGGAGGCGAATACCTCAACTGTAAGCTCATCATTTGAGCTGGCGCTTGGTCAGTGTTTTAGTCAGGGCTCCAAGATTACCCTCCGAGTGAGATCCCATAGGCCCACATTTGCCTGGAAGCTGCCTTTAACACGTTGTCGACCAAGCCATTTTTGACCACATCAAAATGGACTGATGATCTTGGCTGCGGTTTAGACTGCTTAACAGCTAACGCAATGCCGTGTGTTCTATATAACAACCAGGCCACCAGCGTTATAGTTGCATAGAAGTTACCTGAGAACTTTTCGTTTATACATGATAAATTGATGCAGGGAAGTGCTGGAAGGTGGTCAGGGCATGCATACGCGCGGATGCACACGGTCGTCAACGTGTTAAGCGGAAAATCTACTCGACTGTTTGTGGTATACTATCGTAATTATCACCATGGGGTTGAATCTCTGAATCAACATTTCAATACCCTTTTTGAGAAATGTTTTCTTTGTACTATGGCTCGAAAATTTTTTGGAATCACCTGCTCGCTGATTTGCGGAGATTTTGATGAATGGTCGCGATAAGTATGGAACGCACAGACCTTTGTGTTACTCATTCTTCAATCTCTGGTCCGTAACGGCTTTGAGTGCGCACAAGTGGAACGCTGGCGTTAATTGCAAGTAAGATGCGGGGGTGAATGCCAGTGTATTTCGAGTTATTACATATCTATATGGTATACTACACCCAAGATGTTCCGGACATTTCCCGGACGGATACATGAAGGCCCAAAGGTACCCTTTGCTGAAACCAGATCGGCGGCTGGAATTCGGGGCTCCGTGACCTTATTAAGGCTAGAAAAAGAGCGTGTTTTTGAGAGACGAAGACTGCGTTGCGGACGCGAGCAGTCGCTTCCTAGGTCATGAAGCCTCGCCTTCCAGCAGCCAACCTGGTTGAAGCAAATGCTACAGCCGACAGACTGCGCAAAGACTAGGTACATTTGGCGCTCCTTTTTCAAGGCATCCATTTCAAAAGCAGAACCATTCCTAGGTAGTTGGTTGCATGGTGAAGCTTTTCCACGTCAATTCTGCGCAAAAACAGATGCTGTTAAACAGTCTTTGTGTGTATTTGTCTGTGGACCTAAACTCCGGCAAGACTTTGTTCGAAGGAGAGCTGCGAATTCTTGCGTTTTGGGAAATTGGAAGACGAAGCGTTGGATGTTGAATTTCAATCGAGACAATTTGCTTGAACTTTAATTTCGATTAGCATCTGCTGTCGGACATCGGGAGATGTTCACACAAAGTTCAGCTAACAAGGGAAAGATACTTGGTGATCGTGGCCATTTATAAAAATTTGTCTATCAAAAAATGCGCTTTTGTATGCTAATTCGAAAACGGTCTTCTATTAGGTCGTTCCGAAAGTAATGTCGTTTTTTGAAATGGACGCCACATCTCGTGGAAGCAAGATTACCAAGAGATCTTGGAAGTATTCGATGCAGCATTTCATTTTCTTTCTAAAGGTTGCAATTTCATCGCATAATATTTAACGAGCTCTTCAAAAATTACCAAAATCTACGACTCATGCTTTTTGCTATGGTTAAGTTCGGCTATTTTTCTAAATTTTTGTACTTAGTCTCCGAAGAAGAACAAGTAACTGGTAGATAGAGCAAACCCTACAGGACATTAAGTAATTTTTTCTTTTCCTTAGCCTGCTTCTTAGAGTTTCTGGAATCAATTTCTCAATGCTAACAGATTCCATATTTGGTCAACTCAAACCTCACAGAACAACAACCAGTAAGCGACTCAGCTATCATTCGACGCAGCTTTTTCTCCTCTTTCTACCACTAGTTTTTTGTTTCTGATTCATCAAGTTCTCCGGGATAAAATCATCATAACTCAGTTTTTCCAGGACGCCCCAGGCTGTACCGAGATTTTTCGAAAGTTGCTAATCTGAAGTGGTGAATGCTCATTTGGTTTGTAAAATTAATATCAAACCATAATCCATCTTCGTGAGTTTTATTCGAAGATTTATTGGTGTTTGGTGCATTTGTGTCTGAGACGAGCCTGCTAAAATTGGGTGCGGTAACTTAGGAACCCGAACCCAATGGGGGACGGAACTTAGGAACCCGAGCCTAATTAGCTCGATTCGGGGAGTGCCTGCAGGTTACAGTCATGCTCGCTGGCTCCGATTACCCACTAGGACATAGCAACAATCTAAGCCCCGCCCCCTTGAGAGCCTGTTTGGAACCTAGCCAAGGAATGCTGAAAATCTCAATTGAATTTCAGGGCTGGCTCTAAGCCAAAAACCTTCAAAGTCATCGTACGAAGGTGAAATTAGGCTCAAACGAAAGAGAAAAACCGTGCCATCATCATAAAGCAGCTACTGAATTGAACTGATTGAACACAACATTTTCTTGGTTCAAAACTTTATTCAAGTGTTAAATTACCTAGAAATAATTCAAAAAAACCGTCAAGTTTTTCAAAAAAAATTATTTGAGTGCTAAATCCGAGCACAAAACTAGAATAACATTAGAGAAATGACAGTTCAAAAACTTCTCAAGATTGATAGTTATTTGCTGAAATGCTGAAATTTAGGCGAAAGACTAGAAAATCAATTGCGAAACGACAGTTTATAGAATTCTCAAAAATAAAAGTTTCTTTGTGTGCGGAAATCTGGGCAAAAGACTAGAATATCAAGAAATGAAAAATCAAGAACTTCACCAATGACACTGCTATGTCTGTCAACGGCAGACGATTCTGATGTGCGAAGAACATCCTGCTATTATGCTGGAAGCAATGACCTCAACACTTAATCGAGCATAACAACATTATTTTTTGATGAGCACGGCTCAAAAAATTTGTATATCTTTATTTTCAGGCAATTGTGGTAGTTTTAACTACTGAGTGGCATTTCTTGATGTGTTTTGCTCGAAATTCAGCACTCAAAAAAACTATTATTTCTGAGAAGTTCTTGATTCATTTCTTGATATTCTAGTCTTTTGCCCAGACTTCCGCACACAAACAAACTTTTATTTTTGTGATTTTTATAAACTGTCGTTTCGCAATTGATTTTCTAGTCTTTCGCCTAAATTTCAGCATTTAAATAACTATCATTCTTGAGAGTTTTTGAACTGTCATTTTTCGAATGAAATTCTAGTCTTTTGCCCGGATTTAGCACTCAAATAAATTTTTTCTGAAACTTGACGGTTTTTTTGAATAATTTCTCAGTAATTTAACACTTGAATAAAGTTTTGAACCAAGAAAATGTTGTGTTCAATCAGTTCAATTCAGTAGCTGCTTTATGATGATGGCACGGTTTTTCTCTTTCGTTTGAGCCTAATTTCACCTTCGTACGATGACTTTGAAGGTTTTTGGCTTAGAGCCAGCCCTGAAATTCAATTGAGATTTTCAGCATTCCTTGGCTAGGTTCCAAACAGGCTCTCATGGGGGCGGGGCTTAGATTGTTGCTACGTCCTAGTGAGTAATCGGAGCCAGCGAGCATGACTGTAACCTGCAGGCACTCCCCGAATCGAGCTAATTAGGCTCGGGTTCCTAAGTTCCGTCCCCCATTAGGTTCGGGTTCCTAAGTTCCGTCCCCCGCTAAAATTCGGTGGCTTCATCAAAAAATCTACACAAAAATGACGAGTTTGGAAAGTAGAAAAAAGTTGTGCAGTTTCCTGTAGGGTTTGCTCTATCCATCCATTACTTGGACCCCTTCCGAGGGTTGCTATAAAAATTTAGAAAGATTGTGAAACTTGGCCTTTTGAAAAAGCATGGACTGCTGATTTTGACAAATTTTCGAAAGGTTATTAAATTTTTTGCAGTGTTTATATAACCATCAAAAAGAGAATGAAATGCTGCATCAGATGCTATCAGAATCTTCTGCACATCTTTGTTCCTCGAGATGTGGCGTACGCTTGAAAAAAAAACGACATTACATTCGAAACGACCTAATATATCGGCGAAACGATAACCTGGATGTAAGATTATTCTTTCAAGAATAAATTACGCTGCTGGGGAAGGTTAAAATCACCAACAGAAAATTTTCTTTTGTTTGCTAACTGCTGAATATGATTTGAAAAGTTATAAATACAACAGTAGCGCCTCTAAGATTTTTTTTCATAAATCGAAGGAATTGAAACAAATTTGGTGTTCCTAAGAAAAAAGTTCATAACTTCCTTCAGAAGATGTTTCGCAGATATCGAGCGCAGATTCAAAATCAGCGTTTTCAGACGCATCTTCTTTCAAACATCTCATTTTAAATGGCCACGATCACCAAGTATCCTTTCTTTGTAAGTTGAGTAAGTTAATTTTCACGAACACAGTGGTAAAATTAAGTTCACTGCAAAACGTAAACTCACTCTGTGCATTTTTTTCATTCTTCTACCATTCACTGAAGCAATTAGAAGATAAATGAATCTTGCAAAATAGCAAGAGATGCATTAAATGCAGCAGTGCTTTATTTGGTGAATAGTCAGCATCTTTTTCCATTTTTCTGTTCTTTGTCAAAACTAGCAAATAGGTCGCAGAAAGCAAAGATTTCTTTATGCTGGTAAATCTCAAATAAAATATTTTCCGGTGAAGTTTTGATGATGATTTTTCCACAACGTAGCGATTTTCAAATAGAAGTAATTTCTCAAAAAATAGACTTCTCACATTCTTGCTCAATCACAGACAACTAGATCCACTAGATCATGTACGAATTTTTAGATATCATCTTACTGCACGGAAGCATTAGTCACAGTGACCATACAATGTCGGATTTCGAGCGGTCGACTTCAAACTTTTGTAATTCAGAACCATTTGAGAAGCCCATAGTTTTCTCCACCATGTGTTGAATTCATGAATTTTTCAATTCTGGGTGAATTTACAAGAACGGTATTAGAAAAAGGTAAAAGAGTGACTCAGAATACTTTGATGTATATGGCGCTTCAAAAATGAGCGAAACAATCAACTTTCTCAGTTTAGCAGGGTATAAAAAAGTCAATAGCTAGCGAAACGCAGAGAAGAGTAGAAACATGCCAAAGTTGAGCCAATGTTTAGAAAGACAGTCTTGCAAGATGCTTTGAACATACACAACATCAGATGTTGACGTTTCCGATTCAAACAACGCAATCGATCTCGACACCATGCGTGCCCTTTTTCCTTTTTCTTATGGTAGCTTCGAGCGAACTTCTTTTGCTTGGGCTTGCAGATGCTAGAGACTCAGAGATTGAAATGTGCGAATTTAGCAAATTCCTTACAATGTACAAGAACTCTAATGTTATGCGAATCTTCACCTGACTGCAGCCTAGTGCAGATAGCGCGTATTGCACCTGATATTCTAACAATAAGAAAGCATGATTTGCAGTGTAGCGATTTGCTTTGGTACATAGGACGTTTGGCCAAGCGGCGCGTGCTCCGCAATCAACAGTCGGTCCGTGCGGTCAACGACTAGACACTATATTGCTAAACGGATTCTGCAGCCTGTCCTCCGCTGAGTCTAGAGAATATCCCTTACATTCTCTCTTCGAAAATAACCAATTTTGATCCCCATTTCTTGAAGTCATGGGAAGTTGATGCACATCACCAGCAAACTATGAGAGTTGAAGTCTACTGAATAAGGTTCTAAACCCTTTGCTCTTTTCTTATGCTACCCGCCACGTTTACAGTTTGTTATTTTTGACCCACTTGCAGCCATTGAATACTCTTTGCTCACATCCTACAAGATTTTACGCAATAGTTTATGTTACTATTTTTGCTCAATTTCTTTGGAAACTGCAGATTGTTCCACGCTGGTTATCCTGCTAAAACTCTGGTTTGAAAAACTACATATATTGTTGTTTCGCCGAATGAATCACCTCATTAGAATCAGATGTTCGCAGACGACAACTTCCTCATCTACTTTTAAGTATCGAGCGTTTGATGATAACCTTAAATATATATATTCCGAAACGTTGCATCGTTTCGGCTCATGATGCATTGATGATTTTGGATGAAGAGCCGAGCAGCTCATTCTCACATTCACACATTTCCATTTTTGTTTTTCACGGCTTATTCATGCGCCAGCAATCCAATTCTTCTCATCATCGCAATAATATCCCAAAACACACTACTGCTTCCCAGCAGCAGTTAAGACAGATCCTTTTTGATTAAATTGACGATTGGATAGTAGATATCAGCGGCAGCTCGAAGACCCCAAATGAAATCCAAATGATTGTAGTCCTTCAGCTCAACGTCGCCCTGTAAATTCGAATAAATATAATTTCTTTTCAAAATGCATATCAAAATGTAAGTAAATTCATACCGCAAGTGTGTGCTGTATTCTAGGCAGTAAATAGGCCGATATATCCTGAGGATCAGCTAGCCAATCACTGTCGCCCCAGTAAAGGTAAATCTGATTTTGGATCTTGGTAAAGTCATATTCGGGTGGGTTTGCCTGAAATTAGGGAATTTTCACCGCTGATGCGATCTCTCTCGGTTGAGAACTTTGATGTGCTCCTCAACAGTTCTTAAATTTATCTACAGTTGTTGATCGACGATACATAATGGAAGGAAATGTGATGTGATTCGGGCAGGTTTTGTTTTTGCAGCATTTCCTTGAGTTAGTTTATTAGTCATAAATAAATGAATAGATAAATATTTTGTCAGTTTTGACTTTATGAAGAGTGTGTAACTTTTTTCCTTTCTCTCGCTTACTCTCTTTCTCCATGGGCTGTGGTCATAGGCAAATGGTGTGCTATGTTCAGAACTATAAAAGTTTTGCAAACTCTCAAAATTCGCTGCAAGGCTGATGTGCCGCGCAAAATATCTCCTCAGACAATCGCACATGAGTTCCGGGGAAAACTGAACTTTCAAAACTTCCGGGGCGCACTCTCCTATTGGACCGTGTGGGTGGGCCCTGCCTTACCTGTCCCCGCCCTAGTACCTGGCAGCTCCAATACTAGTGTCCCCCCGGAAGTTTAGAGCTTCAATTTTCCCCGAAGAGTCTTGCGATTGTCCGAGTAAAGGCAGATTTTTTGGTTGGAAAAGCTCGCGACATAAAACAAACCTGTCCATACTTCTTCTTGTTCTCTCTCGTCCCATAATCGTACATAGAAACTGTACCCTTCTTCACCATTTGCAGCCAATGCATGACGTTGAGAGATGACGTGCCTGCCGGTGTATGGCTCAGATATACAGGTGTTCGGGTCTAAAAAGTCAAGGTCTAATAAATAGTGGTGCAACGTCGTGTGGAGTTTAGAAAGGAATGGCAGAGAATTTTCCTAATGTTGCATTTTCCGAAATGAACGTTGGATTCCTTCTATAGGAAACCAATTTTGTTCTCTAACGAAACTACGTAAAAATGCGCCATGAGAGAAAGAAGAAGATGAAGGGTGGGGGGGGGGAGTTAGATTAGATGAACTAGGGGAAAAGACGGATTTCATTTGCCTTTGACAATTTTTCGAACATTTCCCGTGATACCTATGATGCAACGCTGTTGCTCGTATTGTCTTACGTGAACAAAAAACCCCTTATACAATCGAATGAGCAGAGTAGATAATATAAACTTTGATTCAACTGGATTGGCGGCTGGAAAGAGGGTCTTTGTGACGAAAATTAAGGCAGCTCGCGCCCGCGACGCAGCTGCGTCTCTCCCGTGCTACTCTCTGACTATTACCTAGCCTTAATTTACAAAGCCCCGCCTTCCAGCCGCCAAGCCAGTATTCAAAGGGGCCCAACCAAGAGATTATACTACCAGAAACTTACATCGTTCATCTGGTGGCTTTCTGGTCCTGCGATCAGGAAAAGTACATTATCACAAAGTTCTTCTTTCACGTTCAATCCAGCACAAACGCTATCGGCAACTATTTTCATAATCCATCCATTCGGCAAAAACTGTCCTGCTCCGAACAAATCGAACCAACCCTGAATTTTGAAGTTGAACTGTCTATTGTCAAAGTGTGAAACAAAGGACTTACGTCAAATTCGAGTCCAAAGTCATCAGCCAAGAATTTAAACAGTCCTTTGGCGTGCTTAACGGATCCAACAGGAGCGAGTGCGAAGAACTTCTTGATCTACAATCCAACTGCTCTTTATAAAAAGACTCCTCAGAGGTCTGGCTTCAAATTGATAGAAGTCGAAATAGAAGAAAGTTGTTTTAGGTCTAACATACGCAAAATTTCCATTTCTGACTGTGAAAAACCAGCTTTTTCAGTCCCTCGCCCTACCTACTTTAAGAATCTCTCTCAAGTAATTGTTGAGAATTATCTTGCCATGTGACCAACATATGCCTATGGTTATAAAAATCAGGATATTTGCAGATTTTTCTTCGTTCAAATCACTGAAAGGAAGGCCTTCAGGTTTTTAGGTAATTTCGAATGTATTATAGTACCTATTGTTAGCGTTATGTGCTTAAGAAAGTAAAGTAAATACAAAACTGATAGGAACAAGTATCACCCATATTTTCCAATTCTGTTTTTTTGCTGATTTTATAAGGAGAACCGTACCTTTGATGAAAAAGCCTGATCAATGGAGAGCTTCGAAAACATAGTAATAGTCCCTTGCGAGTGCCCAATGTAGTACAGATCCTTCTGTCCAGAGACATTCAGAGCTTTATCAATCATTGACTCCAAATCGTATTTCGCCATCTCGTCCCATCTAAAAGGCTTCATTTCCGTTTCTTACAGTGTAGGTTACAAATCCTACGTGAACTCCCAGAATTTGTCTTGTTTCGGGCTAAGGTTGATGTGCTTCGAGCTGTAAGTATTACCGCGCATGTTACCGAGCCAAACATCAAAGCCAGCATCAGCAAAGATAAAACCTCAAAGCATGGAAACTTGAAATTTTAGTGGAACTGAAAACTCTACTCTTACCAGCACTCTCATCAGGCAAATTAGTGATCCAATTACTGCTACTGCATTCGAGACCATGCTGCATGAAAACCACTGGTCGCGGTTTTATGGGTTTCGCATCTGCAGAACCAAAATTAGACTCTCTCTCTCTCAAGTATTCAGGAATTTTTACCGTTTTTGCCATATGGTATCCTGTGTAGCTCCAGAACGTATCCATCTTCTGTGGTTACAGTGTAGATTTCTGCTGGATAACCCCAATGCTCAATGATTTGAGGCTGAAGGATTGAGTCAAACGGGCGTTTCATATTTATAAAAGACGAAATTTTTAAGGAAAAAAGAGACAGATGAAAATTTGACAGTTTTTTGAACATGAAGGAGAGAAACCACGCGCTTACTAAGAGTGTGTTGCAACTTGACGGCGGATCAAGCATGTATCTGTTTTTATCATTCAGTACCATCGTAGTGCTATAGTCTGATTAGAATTTGGCTGACCCATCTTTGAAAATATTCTCAATTTCTTTGGTCAGCTAAAGTATACTCTGCACGCAGACATAACTTTGAAGCAAATCTCTTGTAGAGCAAGCCTTTGCCTCCAACACTATTGACGACGAGAATTTGAAAGTCAATTCAAAGAAGAATTTCGTTTTTTTTAAACATGCTTCTGAGGCAGCATATTGGAAACGATAGTATTTTAACTCTGCTAAGTGCGCATAAATGTCTTCAAAATCAGTTTCGAAACTATTTTTACGAAGCTGCCATGGTAGAGCTTCTACAAACCTCATAAGTGGCGAAATTATCTGGGAAGCTGTTCACACCTGAATTCGCCCCCCCCCCCCCAATTGATTTTGAATACAAGGTGCTTCTACGCAGGCATTTTTCGCAAATACATCTTCTCAATTCACAAAAAAAAAACAATCTTTTTTAACAATGGCAACTAGAACTGTATGATAGTGCAAAGTATGCCCCACATCCACAGCATGGAATGTTTTAGAAAGAATTTGAGTGCATTTAGTTACAGAGCAAAATATGAGTTTCAGGAACTTCTATTTTTTAGCATTCCATGACATAGATTTCAGATTGTGTTTCTCGGTGGTTTTTTGTGGTATTGGTGCAAAAAACTGGCACCGGTAATTTTGACGCACCCCGTATATCTTTAATAATGGTGAACATTAAGCATTTGTTGTACAGTTTGAAAACTATTGTTGATTATTGGTGGGAGACTTTCTTCTTAACCTATTGCAAGTAGATTGTTTTCCACTTTCCTTTACGTGAAAGATGCTTGTTTACTAGTAGTATACACTTGCAATTTACACAGCATTAGGCGACAAAATCAAAAATAGCGTGAGACTGAGTAGTAAACTCTACAACAAGTGGAGTGACGAGTTGTGAATCATTCTTGTGTGTTCGCTAAATGAAAAACTCGCTTGACAGTAAATTAGTCGAATGAATCTAACATAAGTAGAGGGATCCCCAAGCACTCACCGTGGTCATCTCAACCTCTGGATCTTCATGTTTAGCGGCAAGGACAGCAGTCGCAATCACAGCGACCAGAAGGAGAACGCACCGAAGCATGACTCGGGCGAAAATGCTCGAAAAAACCCGCTATCTTCTGGTTTAAGTACCTATTCTGGCAATGCCTGACGCAGCACAAAAGATAGGGGTCCAACGTGACCATTGTTCCTTTTATCAAGCAAGTAATTACCGCTGCTGATGGCCATTACAAGCTGGCATCTTTTTTTTTGTACGAGGAAATCGTTATGCTAAAAAAACTAGTTAGGCACTGTGAAAAACGCAAAGTTTGATTGTAAAAACATTGTTTGGCCCTCCTTTCCTTGGCAATCACCACTCCTTCAGCTTCAAAGTGCACACACAAGCGAACATTCTAGTCATTTGAATAGCATGCATTTTATGATATCCTTTCTACTGACTCTTCAAATTTTAAGTCTTTTTCTGCGGTAGCAAAAAGGTTTTCTTATTATGACAATAGCAAGAGAGACACACGCAGTCCATCTTACGATTTCAATCGAATGGTCAAAGTGAAGTTTTGATAGAATTTGTGTTACATGTTTGTAAAATTCTAGCCGGTAAACTTATCGATTCCAAATTCTTAAAAACTGGGACACCTAGTATGACGTGTCTCATTTGACTATACGGCCTGTCAACTTTGGCAAATCAGAAACGGTCACTGACAAATTGCTAGCACTCATTTTTAACAAATAAACAAGCAATTCCAGGAAGTCTGTATCGCTGAGCACCAGTGGCGTACCTAGGATTTCCGCTCGGGGGGGGGGGGGACAAAAATTTTCTTCTGATGAAGGTGCGTGGCGTTAGCCACGCACTCTGAAGATTTTTTTGGGATGCTTTCCAAAATTTTTGCGGCTTTTGACCTGGCGACAGCCACGCCCCCGAAAAATTTTTTTTACTGGGCTAATTTGAATTTTCAAAATTTTTTAAATATTATTTCAATTATTTACGAGACAAAACAACTCGCTCGCACATTTTTATAACATATTTAAGCAACTTTCATAAATTTCGCGATCCATTCTCGGAGGGGGGGGGGGCGCTCCCCTCCCCCTCGGTACGCCACTGCTTAGCAGTATTCAAGCCTTCCTCACCTTTCCCTAAAAAGGATTTCGTAAATTTTTTTCTTATCAATAGGAGCAGAAACATTAGGGCCTGACTTTCACTTCTGTTCCTTGTTCTTCGACTAAAGAACTATTTTTTTTGAGAAAGTGCGTTTCATTTCAGAGAGGCATGCACTTCTTTTTTTTCACCTTAGTGTTTGTGGATTGCAATGGGAAAGGTTCATGGCTTTATGAACTCAATCCTACTCTTTCATTCCCAAAAACCAGGTCTTTTCCGATTTTACCGTCCGATGCAGAGGGTGTCCCAAAAATGTGCCTACGTTCTGACTGTCGATGAATCTCTTGTCATAAATTCTTTGGATAAATTTTGGGTGCTGTTTTGTAGAGCTGCCTTCAGCTTATATTCACAATGTAAAGGGTTTTCCTTCATAACTGTAAATTACGGTAGGGAACTATGGAGGGTCGTATTTTGGCTTAGAAAGGAAAGAAAATGACTCAAAAATTCTCACTCTAGGCTGATTCTACGAAGTTTGCGTCTTATCTTCATTTCTCAGTGAGTTATGCCGGGTAAGCAGTAGCAACCTTTTTTCGATGTTGCAAAAAATGTGATTACACCGTCTAGAAAGCCTTCACAATCTTGTACAAAGTTAACTGTCAACAGCGTCTATGAAAACCCCATTACACAAGTCTCCAAATCTTTTTTGAAATTCAAGTTGGCGCTTTATTGGAGCAACTGCATTGCACTCTGCGTGTAACCAGTACAGTTTGTCTTCGTACTGGAGCGTATCAAACGATGATTTCAGGTGTAAAGTTATAACTATTGCACACTTGATCAACTGACCTGTTGTTGTGCTCCTGAAATTGTAGTACGTTGTAAAAATCTTTGCTCTTTAATGTTTTGAAACTGTCACTATGTAGGACAAAAACATCGCAATGACGTCACTGTACACCACGTCTGTCGTAGAACTCCAAGAGACTGAAAGCCAAAGTCATGTTTTTTATTCTCAAATAGGACATTTTGAATTTGACATGAGCACTAATGTGTACAACACAAGGATTGCTCATTTGTTGATCAGATGATTCTGAGGCAAATTACTGCGTTGCTTGCCAAACAGTAATTGTTTTAATTCTATGCACTGAGTAGGGCAAAACATGTGGTCGCTATGGTCTTCGCCAAATGAGTCTATCCTAAGCATATAAAAAACACTCAAAAACACATGCTGCAACCGAACCTAAAGCATGTCCCGAAGCTTATTTGTTCTTTGTCTCATCGCCCTCGTTGCTTTAATAAACGCTCTTCCTGTAGCAGTCGTGGAACGATATATTCCCATTGCTGTGGATCCAGACGGTGTTCCGTAAGTTTTCGACCATTGAAGATTATAAGAAGTTTATTTTAGCCAAACTTATAATCCATTTACAGCCTTCATCGTGTTAAACGACAATTCTTCGGTGGCTTCGGATTTCCCTTCGGAGGTTTTGGAGGTTTTGGAGGCAGCTATGGCAATTCTTACGGCTACAGTCAAAGCTCTAGTTTTTAACGCATACAACAATGGTTACAATATGGGTTTCTTTGGATAAAGTAATGAGCCGGCTCCTGACCGATCCAAAATGATATTATCTTTGGCCTGTACAGTTTAACTCATTATTTGCTTATGGAAAATAAAATTAACTTCCATGTTCGACCTTCTATGAATCTTGGCATGACTTGATTATCTTATATGTGTTTTTGAACGGCGGCCAAGATTGGTATACAAACAATTTATTGGTTGGGTAACGTTTCGGCGCCAACGCCGTCTTCAGAGCCTGTAATCAAAAAACGTATGTGTGAAGTACTTGCTGGCCCCTCTCGCCGTTACGATTCGAACTGTGTTGAGCGCGAGACCAGCAAAGAGCCAGACCATATCTCACCTTATTCGACGTCAGTCGAGTGATCTGACCGCTCGTGGTCAAGCCGTGCAGAATGTGATGGTATGCCTTTGCTCTCTGTGATGTTTATACTTTAACAATCAAAACCGCAGAGGCTTTGATATGGTGATAACTCTTTGATTACGGTAATGCACTCGTCCTTTTTGTTCATTTTGGGATTACGTGACGTAATCCAAAATGCTGTGTCTTGCGTGGGATAGTTTCTTGCTCGTAGGACAAGATTGTGGCAGCAATATCAAACGGCATATTATCGTGCGACACTCTGCTATGTGCACTTAGGGGAGTGGATGCTTTACGTTTTGTGAGTCCGACTAAGTGCTCTTTGATCCGTAGACACAATGGTCGTCCGGTCTCACCTACATATTCTTCACCGCATACTCGGCAGGTAATAAGATAGACGACCCCGCACTTTAGGCAATCACCTGGTCTTCTAAAGGGACATATCATGCCAATTTGGTGTTGAGCAAATATTGTCATATGCGCGATTGCGGATTAGCTGCTTCTTCAGATTGGGAGGAGGAATGTCTACAACTCTTACATATTCTTGCAAGCCCTCTTGTACTGCAAATTTATTGACGATTGCTACATTGTATGTGCGAGCCAAAAGGAAGTCGATACTTGTTTCGATATTCTGAATGCGCAATCGCCAAAAATAAAGTACACTCGCGAAAAACCTCATCAAAACTGGTTAGCTTTCCTGAATGTTGAGGTTTATTCACGCAACGGAATTTGGAAAACCAAGTGGTACCGAAAGCCTACCCATAAAAATATCTTAAGTACTCTGCGTTGATACCACTGCTT